TCCATATAAGAAAAAAAAATTAAAGGCCAATATTTCATGAATATACATGTAAAAAGTATACATATACTAAAGGCCCAGTGCATGAAATTCGTGCATGGGGGTGGGGGGTGTCTCCTCAGCCAGGCCTGCATCCTCTCGCAATCCGGGACCACTGGCTCCAAACTGCTTGCCTGCCTGCCTGCCTGATTGCCCCTACCCACTCGCCTGCCTGCCTGATTGCCCAACTGCTTGCCTGCCTGCCTGATCGCCCCTACCCACTCGCCTGCCTGCCTGATTGCCCCTAACCACCTCTGCCTCAGCCCCCACCACTGCAGCTTCATCTGGAAGGATGTCCGGAAGGATGTCCAGAAGGTTGTTCAGCTGTCTGGTCTAATTAGCATATTACACTTTTATTACTTACTAGAGGCCTGTTGCACGAAGAGATTCGTGCAATAGGCCTTCCCTTCCCTTGGCTGCTGGCACTGGTTTGCCTCTGGCCCCCAGGACCCAGGCCTTCGCTCTGGCCGGGCTCTGGCTGGAGCCGGCCCTGGAGCCGTCAGGCTTCATTGCTCAAAACTTTAAAACTCTTTGCAAACTAGGAATTGAAGGAATCAGTCTTTATACAATAAACAGAATTTACAAAAAAGCCTTTATCATACTTAATAGTAAAATATTGAAAACTTTTTACCCTGATATTATTATGGGAGGAGGAAGCCCACTATTGCCACTTCTATTCAGTGTTTTATCAGAGGTCCTAGTGTGACCAGATAAGAAAAATGAATGTTATAAGAACTTGAAATAAATAAATAAAAGTCATCATTCACAGATAGCATAATTGTGTACATGGAAAATCTAAAAAGAAACCAAACTACTGATAATCAATTTGGTTTTAGATACCAGCACAATAAAGAAAATTGGAATTTTAAAAATGACATTTACAATAGCTTGAACACACCCAGAAATAAATTTTATGGAAGGTGTGGAAGACTTTTATACAGAAAATAAAAGCCTAAATAAATAGAACATACCATGTTCATAGATCAGAGGATATTCTCTCCAAATTATCTATAGTCACTATGAATCTAACCAGAACCCCTGGAGATTTGTGTGTGCATGTATGAAGTTGACAAACTGATTCTAAAATTTATATGGAAATATAAAAGATCAAGACTAGCCAAGATGCTCTTGAAGAATTCAAAACTGGATTAATTTATTGTACTGAAAATCAATATTTCTAAGTAGTTCAGACAGTGTGATGGTACAAGTAGACAAAACAGCCCAGAAACAGCCCCCTATGTAGACCCTTGATCAATGACAAAGGTATAGCACTGGGAAATAGAGTTTTCAATAAATGGTTTGAGTCAATAGCTAACTGTGAAATGTAAAATAGTTAAGATAACAGATATCTTTATGACCTTGGTAACAATTTCCTCAAATTGGCCATAGTAGGCATTAACTATGAAGGAAAAGACTGATAAATTGGAGTACATTAACATAAACGTATTTTAATTGAAAGATATCAAGAGTGCAAAACCAGAATGAGAAAAGATATATGCAATGCATATAACCAAAAGCTTCCATAACTGGAATATTTTTTACTCGTATCTATATACTAGGGGCCTAGTACATGAATTCATGCACCTTGAAAGGAACTGTGAGTGTGAGGCTGCAATGGGCACAGGGTGGGTCTTGGCCCATCCTCTGCTCCCCCACCCAGCCCCTCTTGCTGGTCCCCGCATCCCGTCTGCTGGCAGCCCTGCTCTTGCCACCGCAGCTCTCACAAGCTGACAGCGCTGGCCCCGCTTGCACCCGCTGACGGTGCAGAGCGATTGGGGCCAGCGCTGTCAGCGGGTGCGAGCGTGGTTCATGGGTGCAAAGAATTTTCAGTAACCACCCGAGGCTCACCCTTAAGACAGAGACCAGCACCCTGCCTTGGTGTGGCACCCCCACTCACCTGCTCCACCATCCTGCCGCGGCCGACGCCCACCATGTTCTGTGCTCTGCCGCCTGCTGCCGATGCCCGCCTTGTTCCGCGCACACTCCCTGGTAGTTAGCACATGTCATAGTGACTGTTTGGTTGTTCGGTTTTTCCACTGTTAGGTCTATTTGCATATTAGTCTTTTATTGTATAGGATATAAAAGGCTAATATGCTAAGTGTCTGACAATCAGACCAGTCGCTACGCGCAATGATCACCAGGGGCCAGACGCTCAATGCAGGAGCTGCTGTGATGCGCACTGGCCACCTGGTGACGACAAAGCAATTCTCGGCTTCCCCAAGTGGGACACAGGCTCTGCTACCACTCCGGGGTGACAGCCCACCAAATCACAGCCAATGCTGCCAAGACCCCAGGGCGCAAAATGCGGCCCACAGCCCAGCCCAGCCCAGAAACAGTAGCTGTGGGTGCCGGGTAATAACATCATGTAGCAACACCCAGCTTCCTCTCCTTATCGACAGGCCATTTAACAATAAACGGCACCGCGGACCTGGCCCCCACAAAGCAACACTCGGCTTCCCCCAAGTGGGACACAGGCCCCGCCACCCTGGAGTGACACTCGACTAAATTGCAGCCAACGCTGCTGAGACCCCACAGCTCAAAATGAGGCTCACAGCCCAGCCAGCCCAGCAACTGTGGCTGTGGGCAGTGAGTAATGACGTCACACAGCAACGCCTGGCTTCCTCTCCCTAGCGACTAGCCTCCTTGGAGTTTCTTCAGCCTGGGAACATGACTTGGATTATAGCCAGGTGGAAACATTTTACAGTGTAACCAAATGCCTGTGAAGCATTTTCCTGTGCCTCATCTCATTTGATCCTCATAGAAGTACTGGAGTTGGTAGATAGGAGACTCAGTGGGATCATATTTTCTTTTTATTAGTCAGAAAGTGGAGATTTAGAAAGTTTAGAAATGGTGGAACTTGAAAATGACTTCAGGTTTCTCACTACGCAAAATATAGTCAAACACTGCTGCAGTTAAATATTTTACCCTTTGTTCTCCCTGCATGATCTACAATAATCTGCTTCGTGTTGATATTTACTGCTGTGTTGCTGACAATTACCTGACAGAGAAGTTGGGATGCTTCACTGGGCTGGAAAAAGTTTAGCTAAATCAGAAAACAGGCCTAATTAAGCAAGTTTATCTATACATATAAAGCTCTCACTGGTGCCAATTGCATAGGTGTGTTTCGATCTGTCATTGTTGATCATGAATTTGGTTGACACTTCTATTATAGAGAAAGGGTGAATAGTGATATTCAAATATTTCTTCTAATTAATTTCCTTTCAATGTGCACGAGTTCATACACTGGGCCACTCTAGTAAATCAATAAGTAAATGATAGTAAATTCAATAAAGTGGACCAAAGACTTAAATAGGTATTTCATAAAAGACTATAGACAAAGGCCACTAAGTATATAGAGATGCTTAACATTATTAGCACCTGAGAAATACAAATTAAAACATCATCACACATCTATCAGAAAGGTAAATTAAAAAATATTGACAAAAGCAAATCTTGACAAGGATATAAGGCAACACTGAACTCTTATAAACTGCTGGTGGGCGTTTAAATTGGTGACAGTGCACTGGAAAACTGCTTGGCAGTATCCAATAAAGATTTATCTATTTCCATGACCAATGATTTCACTTATAGTTCCGTACCAACAGAAATGCACTCCTGTGTGCATCAAAAGACATACATTTAATGTTCCTGGTAGGAGTATGGGTAGTAGCCAGAAACTGGAAACGACTCAAAAAAATTAGGGAATAAATTAAAAGATATTTAACCACCAAACAGTGAAAATGCATAAATTATAGCTACAATGAATTCCCCCTTCTGTCCTATCCTTGCTACATCCCAGGGCCACATTCAATACCAGACTCTAGTTTATTCATTATGTAAATTGTCCTATGTATCCACTTCACATCTATGAGCTTATATGCCTCATAGTTCTTTAAGGAGCTAACAATTCCAGACAGAGGAGAACTGCAATTCCAGTTAGCCCGAAGCCTGAACCCAGTCTCAAGGGGATTTTTATGCTGAGGTCAAGTAAGTACCCTGCCCAACTCCTGAATCATTTTAGCTAAGGGTCACGTAGGTTTCTTCCTCCTCCTCCCACCCTCCTCATTCTTTTTACACAACCCTTTAAACACGTAAGTCATCCCTAGCTTGAGGCAGTTTGTGAACTCTAAGGAACCAGGCTGACCGAAGGCAGCCAGCTAATGTGAGGAAAAAGAAATTACTTCTCAGCACGCCCCCCGCTGGTGGTGTGAGTCCCAAGCTTGCAAACTACTCAACACTGCACACTAAAGACAGCCATCTATTCCTTCCTTGGACAACTGTAGATTCCCAGTACCTGACCAGGAAATAACTAATGTGGAAAGGTTCAAAGCAAAAGATTTTACAAGACTACCCGGTACAGCTGAGCAGTTGTTAAAAGCACAGGCTGTGACGTGAGACCAGTAAGGGTTAGTGTCCTGACTCCACTGCTTATGACATCTGACCCATCATCATCCCAGGTTATATGAAGTGAAATAATACAACTGTGCACAGTATTCAATAATGACAGGGATTTAAAAGTGAAAGGCAAATGGTTTATAATTTTAAACAGTAAAAGGTAATCAATAGGTAAGATAATTGACTGATTTCCCATGAAACAAATCTTTGCAGTAACCTTAAAGCACAGATACCTCTGAATATCTATAAAATATGACCAAACTATTAATTTAATAAAAACATAAAAAAATCAGCTAAAAACATTTTTTTCCTTCTAAGTTTGACAAATACAAAGTGGATCACATACATGCAATACCAGTAAACGAGATGAAAAGTTATCAGTCACCACTAGGTGCTGCTCAAGAAGGCCTGTCGCGTGCTCTTATTTTATCCCCATGAAGCTTCTTATCCCTTTAATCTACTTTTTTTTTTTAAAAAAAAAGAAAAACTGACACATGACAAATGCTTACCAAGTCCATCCATTTCCAAAATAGAAGACATATATTTAAATAAAGGCCTTACTGCACACCAAAGGTAAAACAAATGCTTTTATTGCACATTTATAAAATCTGCATAGTGGTATCAAGTGTTCTTCCCTCCCACAATTCCTTTAATTTGCAAATTCCGTTAAAACACAATATCCAAACTGGAGCCTTTTAAAAATGGTCAACAGGAGATATTTCTCTAAATATACACATAGATTTCTTTTTCTTTTTACAAACCCACATCCTTTATTTTTCCAAAACAAAAAGGGAGAGGGCATCAAAATGTTCTTTTGGGTCAGCAGCAGCCTTAGACATGTTTCTGACGATTTTCAGGCCCTCGAAAATTAAATGGTTAACAATTATAAAAATGCCATCTTTAACCATCAGTTTGATTTCTGTTTCTATGGGCCTGTTTTTGTTTTGTTTTGTTGGGGATGGTGGTACTGGGAGGGATGAGTGAAACAGGTAAAGGGAAATACAGCCAGTAATATTGTGGTAAGTTTGCATGGTGACAGATGGTTACTAGACTTAGCACGATGATCACATCGTGGGCATATAAATGTCGACTCCCTATACTGTACACCTGAAACTAATATAATATTGTATACCAACTATACTTAAATTAAAAAAATAAAATAAAGGCTCCCTCACCAAAAAGAACAGGATCAACAGTAGGAAACACCCGAGAGTTTACATACATTCACTTTCCCATTTAAAAAAGAAAACCACACAAACCCACTACCGTTAGTCAAGTTTCACAATGTTATTCCATCTAACGTCCTTCATGCTTTCCTTTCTGTCACTCAGGAGGTTTTCTGGTTTAATTAAAAATATAAATAAAAGAGAGAGAAGAAAGGAGAGGCAGCTTTCTTCTGACTTTTCCGCATCTTCTGGCCACATGACCTTGTATTCTACCCACACGTAAAAGGGCAGTGGTTTATCAGTAACCTGACTTGCCATCCTGCCAAGAGCCAGGCGAGGTTTCTATTTCTTATCTCTGGCAGTTAAGAATTTTCAAATGTCATCTGTAATAAGGAGGAGCTGTTCATCTGGTTCAGGTTCCGATGGCTCACCCTTCTATTCTGTCAAAAATATTGATGGCTGAAGGGCAATTTAAAAAGTGGCAGAGGCTTAGAAAAGCACACGCATTCCTGTGGGTAGAAGAGGCCCCCTCGGGTCTCCCGCATAATTCAACACCCCTCTCGCTGCCCCTGCCTCTTTCAGGAAAGCGCGGCAGTGAGTCTGCTCCTGAAAAGGGCAGTTTTATTTCCAATCCTGTTACACACACAGCATGGTTGGGGTCTGGATCTGGATCTTCCTTTTCACCTAATTCCTCTCCCAAGGTAAACACTGGGCAACAGACTTCTGTTCAACGGGCAGGCAACCAAGACCAGGGCAGGCCCTGAACACATGACCGCTTAGTTCACGGTCACAGCTGAAACCCCTTGAATCGACTCCATGACGGCTGCAAACCGGCTGCAAAGGTCATAGGGAGAATTGGGTCGAATAGTTGGAGGCTCCTTCAATACAATGATTTCTGCAGAAGGATCTAGAAGCCTGGGTAGAAATTCCCCTAAGCACAGCTGCAGATTCTCTGTGGAGAGAAAATGATGGTTACATATACAGCTAAGTAGAACTCTAGTGAAAACTAATTAAGTCTGAAACTCTATGGGAAGGCCCTCCAGACAGCCCACTGCCCAACCGCAGAGCATTGCTCTGGCCAACTAACAACAGATGGTGACGCCCTCAGGCCCAACCTGGAGCAAAGACCAACTTGTCAAGTACACCAGAGCTTTAGGCAGAGCTGCCCACCACCTGGCATATGGAAGAGCCACACTGTGCTGACTTCGTTACTGACAGGCCAGATCTTCCAATCACCCTTTTAAACTTTGAGAAAGCAGATGGAACACTCTGTGCCATAAATATAAGGGTGCGATTGTCTTCAAATGGTTACAATACACAGTGTGCACAGCGCACTAAATACAGCCGTGGCGTACACAGAAACCGAAGACATTAAAAGGAAAGTCACACCTACTAATTACAACAGAATTTTCAATAAGTACTATAAACGAGCACTTTTACAAGTCAATAGAATATATGTATATATATATTATAAATATATTTTTACTGATTTCAGAGAGGAAGGGAGAGGGAGAGAGATAGAAACATCTATGATGAGAGAATCCTGTACACCCTCTACTGGGGATCAAGCCCACAATCCAGCCCTTGACTGGAATCGAACCTGGGACCCTTCAGTCCGCAGGTTGGCGCTCTATTCACTGAGCCAAACCAGCTAGGGCCGTCAATAGAATATCTTTACATCAGTGAGAAACTAACAGAGAAGATTCATATTAGAATATACACCAACTTTCTAAGTCTATCAAACTCACTTAAAAATAACTAGGCTCACTCCCTAAAATACTTCGGACAAGCACATCAACTGGTTGCCTCCTGCATGGACCGGGGCCAGGGATCCCACCTACATCAGAGGTACGTGCCCTTTACCAGGAATTGAACCCTCAACCCCTCTGTCCACAGGCTGGCGCTCTAACCATTGAGCAACTGGCCAGGGCATAGCATGAATGGATTTTGATTTTTAAGTCTAGATTTTGGCAACTGAAAAGTCATAGAGGTCGGACACTCCTGGAGAGCGGTGACGTTTCACAGGGCTTCCTGGTCGTCTGGAGACGCCTCAGCACCGCAGAGGAGGCAGGGAGGTTAGAGGAGCAGAGGCTTCCCCACCCCGGGAGCGCAGGTCCACTTCTCACTCCCCAACCCCAGGGGCTCCCATAATCCTTTGACGAGGTTTGGCAACATGTGCTACAGAGTGAGCCCACTGTAATTTCTGTAATTCCCAAGAGCCTTGGAGATTACGGGGAGTGCTAAAAGCAGCACACCTGCAATATCTTGCCCCAGGTAAGAGCACCAGTGTTTTCTCATGACCTCAATGGCATCCAGGTCATCCTTGGAGATGTCGTTATTGATGATGAGGTGAATGCAGGGAATGATCAACTCATTCATCATATTAATGCCCTCTGTTACCGAGTGGTCATCATTGGTTTCAAAGAGAGAAGCCGCTTTGGCATTCAGCTCCTACAGATAAAAGCATGAAAAAAAGTCTGAAAAGATAAATAAGAACTTTAGAAGATCCTAACAAGTGGCTGCCAAACTTTACTGCCTTTGGAATTGTTGGGGGAATCTCTACAACAGCGGTTCTCAACCTGTGGGTCAAGACCCCTTTGGCGGGTGAACGACCCTTTCACAGGGGTCACCTAAGACCATTCTGCATATCAGATATTTACATTACAATTCATAACAGTAGCAACATGACAGTTATGAAGTAGCAACGAAAATAATTTTATGGTTGGGTCACAACATGAGGAACTGTACTTAAAGGGCCAGAAGGCTGAGAACCACTGCTCTACAAACTATGTTGCTCCTCCCCCACCCATTAGCTGCTGCCATCGGTATGCTGGGCACTGGGACTTGATAAAAGCTCCCAAGGTGATTCTTAGGCAGCTAAGCCTCTGACCCAATGGCCTAAACTTCCAAGTCAAGATCGTGCCTAACACCTGCTTCCACTAAAAGTGGTTCTCAACCTTGGCTGCACATTAGAATCACCTGGGAATCTTTTTAAAATCCGGATTTCTGGGCCTCATCCTCCGGAAATTCTGTTTCTTTGTTACTAATGTTGTGGCCCCACCCCATAACAAAGAAACAGAATTTCTGGAGGATGAGGCCCAGAAATCCGGATTTAAAAAAAAGATTCCCAGGTGATTGTGATGTGCAGCCAGCTGGTCTATTCAATGGCCTCTGTCTCCACGGAGCATCAGAACCACCTGCAGAAGACAGGAGGCTGCGCAGGCCCCAGCCTGGCTGCCTGGGAGGGGCCTGTGTGTCTTCCTCGCGTGAAAGTTCCCCGGGTGATTGTGGCACACACTGAAGGTGGAGAGCCAGCCTGGGAACCAGCCAACTCACTATTACTGCCTACCTGTGGCAGCTGAGCAGGACAGGCCAAATGTTACCTGCGTTTGGCGACTTAAAAAATAAAAGTGTAGCTCTAATAAAATTCAGATACACCCAATCTACAAGCCTTTCTTCAGCTTCCAAATGCTCCGCCACACCCATAACCAGTACAGAAATCAAATATAAATCAGAGCAAGAAGCTCTTGAGGTCAGTGCATGTCATGGCTTAACCTCCTCCACTTGGCAGTGACGGGGCTGTGGTGGAAAGGCCGCCTGACCCCCCCGGGAGGGGGCGGGGCTCGGGAAAGATAAACACAGCACACAACCTGCGGGCAGGCCTCCCTGTGTAGTTTTCTGAAGGGCGAGCACCGCTTTAAACCTGGGGGAGACGGAGGGGTGTCGGTCTGCCTTTCCTCGTGACTGCCAACTGTGAACAGGCCAGGAGGCCTTTCCTGGAGTGTGACAGCACAACACCGGGAGGGCAGGCCAGCTCTTATGGCTCCTAACTTAAAAACCTGGAGTCTCTTTAGAAGTCACTAGAACTCTTATCTACCAGCAAGGAACACTGCATTCCTTCAACACACATGTATTACATGTTTACTATGTTCCAGACACAGAGAACACAGCTAAGAGAAAATCTGTGCCCACGGCCTCACAGGCTGGTAGGAAAGCAATGCGATGAAATGCAGGTACACGCGACGAGCACAGAGAAAGGGGTAATCCATTCTCACCCCTTATCTACCAGGGACTGAAGAAGAACGATATCCACTAAGCAATTTTAAATAATCTGTTCCAATCTTAAGCTCCTCTTGAGAGTTTGGGAAAATGTGAAAGCCGCTGGAGACTAACTTCCTCCTGGCTTGCAGGACAGTGGTAAAGACAACGAGCAACAGAGATCTGAGGCGTCACAGACAACACACCAGAAGGCATTTCCTTCGGTATAAAGCGATCACCGACTCCTTCACGCCGCGGCGGGGCCCCTTGGTCAGCAGAGTGGCGTTGCTCTGGTAGGCATACACCAGGTAGGAGAGGGCTTCTTGGTACCTTAGGAAATGGCAGATAACAACAGCTGAGTGTCCTCCAAAACCCAGGGCTTACACCTCCCTGCCCCTCAGACAAGGACTTCCGTGGCTGCATCATGGAGTCTGAAAGGAGGGGCGGCACCGGGGACTGGGAAAAGCCTGAGGGCCAAAGACGGCAGCCAGTCTCAGCTCCTCCACAAACTGGCCCAAAACCCAAGACCAATCCTGAAAGCTCCCTGGGCCCGGGCTTCCTGACAAAGACGTGGACTAGATGCTCACGGAGGGCGGCACCAGCTCGCACGTTCACTGAGTTCACCTTCATTTATCACAGAGGAAACCTGGCCACTACATCTCTTTACTAATAAACCTATCACTACGTGAAGGATGAGCACAGTGTGACATTCAGAGCAACACTGAGGGCAATACTGGGACAACAGAGGCAGGCTGCGCACGTGACAGGGTGGTGTATGCCCGTGACTCTCAGCATTCCTGGGTGGGGATCGATACATCACAGAGTCCCGACCAACAGTCTTAGCAACATGGAAGGCCAACTTACTTTTCTTTCTGATAGAGTTCCAGGCCTGTCAGGAGATACACAGACACCTTTCGAAACAAACTATAATCTTCATGCCACCTCTGAAAAGGGATGACTCGTGTTAATGATTACGACCACAAACGACTTCCACACGGCCCACCACGTAAGTTTTACACTCTGCACATGTGGCCAGGCACAAAAGCAACACAAAGATTTTCACATAGAAACATATTCAACATTTAGAACAAGTCTACTTTGACCTTAATTTTTAATGCCCTTTTCCTTCCACGGTATTTCATATGAGCTTTAGAATTTACCATCTTAATTTGCAGCACCCATGTCAAAGTCACTCAGCTCTGGTTTCCTCTCTAGTTCTGAGGAAACCATCCAGATGTGAGGAAGATGAAAGGACAGGCCGCCCCGTCACAGGACAACACTCAAGCTCAGTGAGTGTGGTGGGCATACCTTAGCTGGTACATAACATTGTTTTACGTACAATACAAAGCTTTTTTTAAAAAAAAATACTTGTAGTTATATATGCACTTTAATGCACAGAAATTGAATATCCAATATAAAAATATTATTTCCAATATAGGAAACTATTATTTAAAACAAACCCAAACTGTGAGTTCAAGAATTATATGCCTAGAACAGGGCTAAAGCGTGTATTTAAGAAAAGGAAATGCTGACTCATCTGATGAAGATGGAATAAAGAAGCATGCTCTGCTGAGGGTAAGAAAAGATCATTCATCCGTTCTTATTCAGGTGGTTTTTTTCAGGGGGGAGGACAAGTCACAGAATTGTAAGTTTTGCTTCAGGAATGAATGCTGGAGGCTTTGCAGATTGGAAGAAAAGACCTGACCTTGTACTCCTCCATATTCATGTCGTCTGGACCGATCTCCTTCAGCTTAGCTTGCGCCACCTTCATGATGCTGATGGACCTGTGTGGAACAAGGTTCAGGAAGCAGTGACAGCAGCCAGGGCACAGCTTCCCATCAGGGAAGGCAGCCACGCCAGACCCAGAAGGAGGGGGTTCACCTGAGTAGCCCCTTCTCACCTTTCATCATAGCTCAGATTTTTATCTGCAAACTGTTCCAGAAGGGTCCGCTCCACCACCCTTTTGGGTGCTTCATTCTGGAAGAAGTAGACGAGCACGTGCTGCAGCCGAGGGTCGCTGTGAGAGGAGGGCGCCTCCTTGGCCAGCTGGTAGAGCCTGGAGTACTCTTCGTGGAATGCCTAAGAAGACAGCTGGGGGTCAGAAAGGGTGCGCCATGGGCTCTTGCACAGACACTGATGCCTAAGTTGACAGCGGTTCCCTAACTCTGAGAAGACGCCTAAGAAACCCTCACTGAGGAATTACAGAGGAACTATGGAGTCTGTAAGGCGTGTGCATTTCATAAGGGATGAAACTCTTCTAGCGTCCTGGCATCAAAGACATACCACATTCATAAGAGACAGTTTTTCATAAAGTTCTCAGAAAAAAACGTTTAGTTTTAATTATCTCAGGCATATCCTCGAGTCCCAGGGACCCAAATCTTAAATTCCACATAAATGCAATTTATTCACGTACCTTAAATTTTATTCAAGTACCTTAAAAAGCATGGCCCACTTTCTCATATGACAGCCCCTAAGTACAAAGGCAATGTCTCATTAGCTTTACTGCTAGACAGTCCCTAAGAACAACAGCAAGCCCTCCCGGCTGGGTGACAGATGGCACTGCTCACCACGGCGGCGTCAGTGCCAGGAGAGGAGGAGCGATCGGTCTGGTGGGCAGCTTATTCATTAGTTAGGCAGGAAAGAGAGTTTTATGCTTTACTTCAATGAAAGACATCTTTAATCCTATTGTTTACCAACTAATAGAATTACTGCCCCATTATTATAATACCTGTGGTATAAGGAGGAGAAATTAAAAAACGGAGATACCTTAATAAGCCCTGCTTCAGACCCATCTCGGTCAAAGGTCTGACGGGCTTTAGCTATGGCCAGGATGACCCCTTGCATGGCAGGGCTCAGCATCACCTACCACAAGAGGGCACAAAACAGACAAAAAGGAGAGAGGAAAGGTTCAAAAGAAGAGCATGAAAAGACAGGGAGCAGCCTGCTGAAGAAAGCATGGCCTTGGTCAGCATCTACTGCCCGTCAGGTTCTACACCCATTCCTGTGCACACGGACAGCACTGCCCTCTACACAACGTCACGGTCCACACACTTACTCCTATGCACACGTACAGCCCGAGACAAGCGATTCCTGTGCACCCTCTGCAATGCACAGATGACTACACATGCATGTCTACAGCTATCTGTTATGGCACTGCCCAAGGATCAGCTGAGTTAGAGCTCTCGGTGAGGAAGTGTCTCGGTGAGGAGGTGAGAATTCAATTTAGTTCTGTAGTTTGGGTGTATGTCCTAAACACACAAATATGTTAGACTTTTACTAGGATGAACAGGGCATTTAAAACAGTCTGGAAACTAGGGGATACACAAATGTGACTTTATAAAATGAAAACCTTTCAATAATTTAAAACTATATCTCATAGGAAAAAAAAAAACTAAGGGGCAGGATTCATGATAGTTTATGCGCAGTGACAACTGTGAGGAGCACCTCAACCACGTGGGATTCTACAGCTTCTTCCTAAAGCTTTAGAATTTAAAACAACTCCAATGTACCTCTGTTTGGCTCACTATACCTCTGGAAATTTTACATGTGGAGGAAAAACAATTAATACTACCAAAGACAGACACTTAAAAAGCAGTTTTTGTCCTAATGCCAAACAAGGGACTAAATTCCATCTTTCTGAGCCTTCTAAACTCTGCAGTGGCCCCATAAACATACACCTGGGTAGACATATACTGGGAGCAGTGCACAGTGGGAACAAGGCTATCTTTGTGAAAACAGTAACTAAGGTCAAACCAGATAGGCCTCGTGTCATTTGTTTCAATAAGAAAATGTTACTCATCGCTGAACGCCTTCAAGCACATGCAGTGACATGAGAGGGGGTAAGACTGACAACAAGCAGCTCAACCTGCCCTCGGCTCTGTACCTCCTCATCATATCCGTCTGCATCAGCTCTAACCAGAATCCTCCCCACACTGGGAATCTCGACTTCAGACACCTCAGAGTGAGGCGGGGCGGCAGAGTCTGCATCGCGAGCCTCTGGGGGCTGCTCTGACTGCTCTGCAAAGTCTGTTTCCGGGGGCAGGGGATTCTTGGGTTCAGCTTCCTTAAGCCGCAGCAGCAGAATGGAGAGAATGAGTAGAAAAAAATGGAGAAATTAAGAGGGACTGGTTAAATGCAGCAGAAACAGAATCACAGAATGTGAGGGACTGTGGAAATTACTGCGGAAAGCCGCCCTCTAGAATCGGCGCTCCCTCGGTCATCCTCACCTCACTCAAGGCTGCCTCGACGCCATTCTTCTCGTAGGCATGCGCGGTGTTTGCAATGGCCTGGGCGGTCTGCTCCTTGACAATCACAGCGTGCTCGGACGACAGGCAGCGAACCCCGTGCGCAGAGGCTCCTGAAGGCTCTGATAAAGAGTTGGACACAGAAATTAGTGTCTGATGATACGTAATGTCTAGAACGCTCTGTAAAGGCAAGCAGGATGGACACAAAGTTGAATGTACAACCTTTCTAACAAACCTTTAAAAAAATCTATGCAAGTTTCCCCTAGAAACTGTGACTACAAGCAATGGCTCCTTCAGCAAAACCACACTGATGATCCTGTAAAATTTAATGTGCTCCTCCTGACTGGGTCAGATTCCTTTACGCCAAGGTTTCCTACAAACAACATCTGTTAGGAAGATGGACTTTTTAAAAAATAAATTTATATATATATATTTTAAGTTCTTGAGCTTTGACACATTTACATTTGCATACAGCATTACAATTAATGCTGTTATAAATTTTTTTTAATTTATAGGCATAACATTGGCTAATAACATTATAAAATTTTAGGTGTATAAGATTATAATTCAACATTTGTGTAATCTATTGCATGTTCCCCACCCAAAATCTAGTTTCCTTTCATTACCATGTATTTGACCTGGTGGAAGGTCACCTTTGGATAATTGTTTTCATAAAATCCACCTATTAATCCTACCATAATTCCTCTTACAACCTGGGAAATAAGCAAAACTAAACAGAGTAATAGTACAGGTAGCTAGTCTTTCTGCTATTACTCCTACTCATCAGAAATCACGTTCTGAACCATAAGTTACCCCATCAGGTTGTGCAATATCAACTCTATTTGAAATGTATTGTGCACCACTCCATCAGCACAGGGCTGGCTGAAGGAGTGCAGTGTGAACACTATCGCTGGCACACTGCCCTTCTCGAATACCTTGTGGTGTAGAGAAATCCTGTGATGTTGAGTTGGTAGATTCCATTTGAGGAATTTTGCAAGACTGCTCTTCTTCCCACTCCTCTACTTCTTGTTCAAATCTCCAGTTATCTTCCTGAACGTAATGCTTAAGTTCAAGAGATAAGGCTTCCAATTCTCCTAACATCTGATCTGATTCATTTGCGACTGCTTCTGAGAAAGAACAAAGATGGAGAAATCAAAAGGTCTTTCCTAATGAAAAATACATATACACATAATCCATCAGAAGTATTGACAATATAAGGCCAACAGTCAGAGCACATCAATAACAGAGCCTGGCATATTAGTAGGTAGGCACATATTGAATTATCTGTTAAATGAAGGAACGAATGAATGTAAGGATTTGGAATAGAGGCCAATCACTGGTAAAATAGTAAGAATAGACCAAATATTTCCTGGAAATTCAGAAAAATCATTAGATCCACTGAAAATTTCAAACAAAATAATTTTATCAATATAACCACTGCATCTATTATTGATAAGAATATCTATCTAAAGATGGTTAGAGATGAATTCCAATGCATTTATGCTGTCTCGAGTTTCAGGCAATGAAGTGCTATCAGAAAGCAATTTGGTACAATAGTTAGATGGTCAATACTTGGGTCATTAAAAGCTATAATGAAAAATGGCGCCCTAACCGGTTTGGCTCAGTGGATAGAGCGTCAGCCTGTGGACTGAAAGGTCCCAGGTTCGATTCCAGCCAAGGGCATGTACCTTGGTTGCGGGCACATCCCCAGTAGGAGGTGTGAAAGAGGCAGCTGATCGATGTTTCTAACTCTCTATCCCTCTCTCTTCCGCTCTGTAAAAAAATCAATAAAATATATTTTAAAAAAAGAAAAATGGCAGGATAGCCCTAGCTGGTTGCTTAGTGGTTAGAGCACCAGCCCACAAACTGAAGGGTCGCAGTTTTTGCAGTTATAAATTATTAGAGAAAAAAATTGAAAGCATGCAGTAAGGAATAAAGCACCAATATATATTATAAGCATAACTGCTCTTAGCATCAATGTTGATATCTCTCTACCCCTCTCTCTTCCTCTCTCTCTAAAATCAATAAAAACATTTAAAAATGTATACAAAATGTTACTAAAAAAGGAAAAAACTAGAGAAAACTTAAAAGTCTTTCAATGGGAGCCGAATCTGGTTTGGCTCGGTGGATGGAGCGTCGGCCTGTGGACTGAGGGGTCCCGGGTTCGATTCCGGTCAGGGGCATGTGCCTGGGTTGCGGGCACGTCCCCGGTGGGGGGTGTGCAGGAGGCAGCTGATCGATGTTTCTCTCTCATCGATGTTTCTGACTCTCTGTCTCTCTCCCTTTCTCTCTGTGAAAAAATCAATAAAATATATTAAAAAAAAAAAAAGTCTTTCAATGGGAGATTGGTTTAATAAATTATATACATACACAATATACATATATTCCATGCAATGGAATGATTATGGGGTTAAAAAGAAAGAGCCCTGGTCGGGTGACTCGGCTGGAATGTCCTGTATGCCAAAAAAGGTTGCAGGTTTGATTCCCAGTGAGGGCACATATCCAGGTTGTGGGCATGTAACAGGAGGCAATCAATTGATGTTTCTCTCTCTCTCTCTCTCTCTCTCTCTCTCTCTCTCTCTCAAATCAAATCAATAAAAACATATTCTCAGGTGAGGATTAATTAAAATAAAATAATGAGTCAATTTTATTTATGAAAATATAGAGGTCACTAAGATACACAATTAATAAAAAGGAAGCAAAACAGAATGGAAAATATCCCATTTGGGGGAAAACGGGATGGAGGAGATGTCAATAAGTAAATGTAGTCGCTGCACAGAGCAGTTTCTGAACACAGCATCAGAAACCTGACAATGGATACCTGTTGGGCTCAAGAATAGAAGCCGGAGAGCAAACTTATTTTTCCTCTTTATTCTCGTTTGTATTTTTAAAAATGCATTATTACTTCATGATAAATTCTAGGTTAAAATTATTTTAAACTATAAAGAATGTTCCCTCTTCCCTGAGCAGTACAGATTTCCCCCATTTCTGGCTCCTGTGAAGATATTTTTACCTGCACTGAAGTGGGGTAGCTTATCGTTAATGTACATCAGACAGTAAGCACTGACATTTCTCAGGCCTCCGTAGGAATCTCTTTCAAGTTCTTCCCAGGAAGATTCGGTCACAGAGATGTCATTGTACTTGAGCCAGACCTGCCGGGGCTGATTGTAGATATAGGCCCAGTAGTGTCCAGCGTTTGCTTGTCCTTCATGAACAAGCACCGCATGCAAGCGATAAGGCACCTACAAACCAGAAAGCACATTTCTGAGTGAGATTCAGTAAAGTAATCTGACAAAGCTTAGGTTACTAAAATCCAAGATTATTCCCAACTACCAGATGTAAGGACAGTATATATATATTTGTTCACATTGAGACATCTTGGTGATTCAAGATGAACTAACAAAACACAGCCTTGGAATCTACCAATTATGCTGCAGTTCCCAAATCTTTAAAATCAGACAATTGAACTAGATAACCTCCTCTGAGACCTCGTTCAACTCTAAACTCTTACGATTATAGATCTAAAACCAAAGATAACCCAGACCTATTTATTCCCCAATTCCAAACACAGTTTATCTAAAAATAGAATCATCCTGGCCGATATGCTGAGAAAATGCTTACCACGTTTGGGACCTACAGCTAGTTTAGCGGCCATCTTGTTCTCTGTCTATTGTAGTTGGCACTGACATTTGAATCAGTCATATGGTCCCTATATTTCCTCTTGTTCACCTAGGGTGAGACCCTTTTAACTACATACTTGTTAGTTTCCACACCTGAAAGGTGTTTCTTTTTACAATATGCAGAACATAAAGCAATGCTTAAGTGCCAAGTAACTACTGATGGGAAAAGGTAAAGTTGGCCATAGACTCAAGTTAAACTTACATTTAATCAGTACCTTGACACGTTTTTTACTAGTGGAGAAATTTTTGAAATAATACACAAGAAAAAATGGGGAAAAACCAAGATTTACATGATGCATTCCCGCCATGCAACAGAACCATGCCTCCATGCAACCCTGGAGACAGCTCTTCTCCTCCGGCCACTGACCCCGAAGCACTAAGAGGCCATGCCCCTGACTGGAACCTCTCTCCCCTCCATGCCAGAATGTCATTCTAAACAAAAAATTATGTGGACAATGAGAACTGCCCGCCTACCTCCCTTTTAGAGTCATAGGAGAAACCAACCTTGAAAGCATGCAGGTAAACAAAGGACCACAGTACTGTGAAAAGGACAAGTAACTGGTCCCTAGTTCAGGTTTCCCCACTGTACTACCTAAATTACTAGGCGTGACAATTTTTATTAATATCTGATAGCAAGCCTTTCTAATATATCAAAAAGTAACACGTAGCAGAATCAAAACAAATATATTTTGCGTTCTACTGGTGGCAGAAGATATATTACTTTTTTCTTTACCTAAAATAAAAATAACAGAACACTACCAATTTCTTCCCTAAGAGTATTCTTGTATCTCAGGAGGTTCTCACTGAGTTGCAAAGAAAGCCATCCAGTTTCCTTTTTGTATCTGCCATTGGCACCACTAGAACATGCTCGACTACTTGCCCATCGATTCACTCTACCTGGCGAAGGAGAGGATCACAGTACATCTGCTCGATAGTCTGGGTAGTGCTTGCAATACAGTTCTTTAAATCTGTTAAAAGAGAAGACTTAGTTAAGATGACTTCACTCCACATCACAGAGGCTGCTTCCACTAAGCAATGAGCAGTGCTTGTCTGTGCCAGGGTCCCGATGACTTCAACTCCACTCGATGGGCCACAAAGGAAGACAGTCTTAAAGCAGCCAGTGCTTCAGATTATGAAGACTTAGTTTAATATAATTACATTAAGATTTTAAAAATCATCTCTTCTAATTGGCACCAATATTTCCTGAAGAAGAAACAGCCTACTTGGAAAAAGACTTTAATGGGTCACTTGGGTGTAAATGTCCTAGAGATAAGACCTGAAAGAAGGTGGCAGAGCAAGAGAGACCTAAATTTCTGTGAATAAGAACCTGGAAGGAATCTGAATTTTCATTTTTATTTTTTGCTCCCCAGATAAAAGGAGAAAGGGGAAGAAAAGTCTGAGCAACATGACCAGGAGGCCATATAGAAAAATCCCAACCAAAGGAGAGCTGCCCAGGAAGCCCAGAAATGTTGAGGAGGGGTCTTTCCACAGCTATATAATGCAAGTCTGTGATCCAATCTTACAGGGAACTAAAGGAAGAAGTCACAATCCCCATGCCAAAATTTAACGGCATATACGGCAAAATTCAATTATACAGTGGGGCCTTGACTTACGAGTTTAATTCGTTCCGTGACGGAGCTCGTAACTCAAATTACTCGTATGTCAAATCACTGGTGTTCACTGTGACGTTCACTGAGCCAACTAGCGGTGGGGTATCTGAAGCTGGCTCGTAACCCGAATTTTAGCTCGCAACTCAAAGCAAAAAATCGGCTGAGAGACGGCTCGTATCTCGAAAAACTCATTAGTCGGGACACTCATAAGTCAAGGCTCACTGTATAAGGCAATAGCAGCAAGAGTACCCAAGGTGCCAAACTTCCAAATACTCAAACAAACAGAGAAGGCAAAGAATAGTTGTTTGACAAATTTAGAATAGCCAACCTTGTATATCCTGTTCAATCTCACTCCTCCACCTCTGAAGACAGGTCTTAACAAAGTTGATCTCCTCCTCTGTGACTGCTCGGGGAGCCGGGTGTGCAGGCATTGACACAGGAGACCGGGAAGATGCCAGTGGCGTAGTCACTGTAGTAGACTTGTGTAGACAGTCTCCAGAAAAGGTGCTTTCAACGTCCTGAGAAGAGCTTTCTTTACTTGTGCTGAAAGAAGACACATCATGCTCATATGATAACTTCCAAAACAGGCCTTGAAAGCAAGCTGCCATGTGGAAAAGTACCACTGCAAGTTGGTGAGTATTCACTCCGCACAGGTGCAGAGCTGAATCTTTCCTTTACATACATCGTCTCATTTAACACAGCTTGTTTATGAGACAGATATTATTACTATACAGATACTATCCCTATTAAGCAATTAAAACCTAAGGTTTGGAGAAATTAAGCAACTTGCCCAAGTTCACTCAGCCAGTAAGGGATGGAGAGGTATTAAGCCCAGACCTGCCTGAGTGTATGGCTCATGCTCTCTCACCTCTTATTATACTGCATCCTCATGAAGAAGAGAGGAGAGAGAGCACGAAGGAAAGACTGTGTCAGGAAGAATCGAAGAATCAACTATAGACTTCCAAGATTAAACCAACTAAAGTGGGATGGATAGACAAGCTCAGGAACACAATATACAGAGCAAGAAAAATGAAATATCAGCTGAACATCCAAGTCACAGGAATACAAACTAGGTAACACCCTGGAGAAGAATGGGGGCTGGACTCAAAGGCAGACAATCCCAGCTCTACCACTCTTTAAATACCCAGGTAAGCAATCTAACACTCAGCTCTAAATGTAAATGTTAACTTCTTCACACTACTGCCCTGAACTAGCTGAGAATAAAGTATGTAAAGTAAATGTTAATTTATCTACTAATTAACTAATGTCAAACAAACTACACACAAACCAGCAGAAAAATAAACCAAACTTCTAAATTGTACTTAGGTTTCTACTTTACATCAAAACTGAAGAACATAAACTTCCTGTAACTCTGACTTAAAGAAACCCTCACTCCCAACTCTTCCCATCTGCTCTCTCTCACACACAAAATAATGGAGAAAACCTCTTCCCCTAGGACACATATATATGGACAAATATTCCAATATAAGCAAGAGAGCAGATATCTCAATTTCAGAAGGGAGCACACACACAGAATAACTTTAAAATCTAATACACACAGTCCTTGCTGGTTTGGCTCAGTGGATGGAGTGTCAGCCTGTGGACTGGAGGGTCTGGGTTTGATTCTGGTCAAGGGCACATGCCCAGGTTGCAGGCTCGATCCCCAGTGGGGGGCGTGCAGGAAGCAGCGGATCTGTTATTCTCTATCATTGATGTCTCTCTCTCTCTCTCTCTCTCTCTCTCTCTCTCTCTCTCTCTCTCCCTTCCTCTCTGAAATCAATAAAAATATATCTTAAAAAATTAAAAATAAATAAAATCTAATATGCACAGTAGGCAATATTACTGTATGTGCTTAACCAAACTGCCCAACTGCTTTAAAAAATTAAAACAATTAGCCCTGACTGGTGTGGAACAGTGGCTAGAGCATCGGCCTGCGGACTGAAGGGTCCCGGGTTCGATTCCGGTCAAGGGCATGTACCTGGGTTGCGGGCACATCCCAAGTGGGGGGTGTGCAGGAGGCAGCTGATCGATGTTTCTCTCTCATCGATGTTTCTAACTCTCTATCCTTCTCCTTTCCTCTCTGTAAAAAATCAATAAAATATATTTAAAAAATAAAAATAAAAATAAATTAAAACAATTATTAAATAAAGAACATGAAACCATTCTAGAAAATGTCCAAACACACAGGTAGGGTATAAAAGGTAAAAACCACCTCCATCTCTTGACTTGTGCCATCCTGAGGGATACACACTTCTATGCATACAAGGATGAATAATTACTAATATGGGGGGAGTTGGGGAAATGGGTGGGATTTTTTTAAACATAAAAACCTAACCTTTTTTAGTCAGTAACCAGGAGGCCGCAGGGTCGGGTGGGAGCTTCTGGCTGCCGTGACCAGAGCCCCCCAACCCCCACGGCTCCCCTTGCAGGTGCATGAGGTTCTCCTTGGGAGGTGCTGCATGAGTGGAAATGCTCTGTGGTGGAGAATGGACTGGACCCTGGGCTGCTACCCCAATCATCAAGCAGCAGCTAGTGGGCTCCGTGAAGGCACTGCAGCAGCAGCAGGTGTCCTGGGACACCATGTTCACTGGCAAAGAGATGCCAGCACCACCCCAGCACCCCAGAAGCGTGGTTATCCACGGCCTGCACACCAAGCACTCTGAGCTGAATCCAGTGTGTGGGTGAGTGCCCACCAGAAGCCTCTGCCTCAGCCTGTCTTCTGGCCCCTCCTGAAAGCCGCCACCCACAGACAGAGCATCTCGGAACTGGAGCAGGGACGTGGGCAGCCGCTGGGCCTGGCTCGGCTGGCCCTCAACAATGGCCTGATGGAGTACTTCCTGCAAGTGTGAATGCTACCAGTTCCCCCGCTGCCTGGAGACCCCGGGGAGGGTGAGTTCCTCAGCTTCCTGCAGGGACTAACACCCTTACCTTACAAGCCCACCACCTTAAGGGAGAGGATGCTCACCCACTCTCAGAGCTCGACCCTGCCACCACCTCTGGTACAGAGGAAGGAGTCTCTGGATTCCATTTCCCTTTCCTCAGGCTCAGAGGACATTGAAGGCCAGCACTTGGGCCATAAGATCCGATGGAACGGACAGCTCACTGCCTCCTTCCTCAGCCTGGACATACCAGTTCCTCCCAACTGTCCTGCAGCCTAGACTCCGATAGCTGCCTACTCCAAGAAAATGGCTCCAAGATCCCAGATCCTTCTGAGGAGCCCATGTCCTATGACTCAGACCTGGGAACAGTAAATGCTGATGATTCAAACTCATCTCTGCAGGAGGTGTTGTCGGAGTTCAACAAAGCCCAGGTAAACTCGGTGCCAACTAACGGACTGAGCCAAGAGACAGATTCCCATGCTGCAGGCCTCCCCCACCCTCCGCCACTGCCTGACACCAACCAGCACACACCCGCACTTCGATGTGCCTGCAGAGCCCCGCCCTGCCCAAGCAGCCTCTCAAACTCAAGACGGTGGCCACAAGCAGGAGCCACTTTGCCAGGCACCTGGCATCCTGGGCCTGCAGCACCTGGGCACTGCACAAGCTGTCACTCGGAAGCACTTCAGACCCCAACCCTCTATCCTGTGAGCACAGGTGGCGAGGGAGGAGCCAGCAGGTGACAGAGCTGGGCTGAGCCTGGGGGCTTCCTCACTCATCAGTCCTGAAAGCAAGAACTGGATCTCACAGGATGACTCTCCAGGCCTCCCCAGGAACAACCCCAGGGGGTCCTTCAGATCTCTGCATAGCTTCTTCCAGGGGGTCCTTCAGATCAGCTCCATAGCCTCTTCCAGGGGGTCCTTCAGATCACTGCATAGCTTCTTCCAGGGGGTCCTTCAGATCACTGCATAGCTTCTTCCAGGGGGTCCTTCAGATCACTGCATAGCTTCTTCCAGGGGGTCCTTCAGATCAGCTCCATAGCCTCTTCCAGGGGGTCCTTCAGATCGCTGCATAGCTTCTTCCAGGGGGTCCTTCAGATCGCTGCGTAGCTTCTTCCAGGGGGTCCTTCAGATGGCTCCGTGGCTTCTTCCAGGGGTCCTTCAGATCGCTCTGTAGCTTCTCTAGGGTTTCCTTCGGATGGCTCCGTAGCCTCTTCCAGGGGGTCCTTCAGATGGTTCCATAGCTTCTTCCAGGGGGTCCTTCAGATCACTCCGTATCTTCTTCCAGAGGGTCCTTCAGATCTCTGCATAGCTTTATCCAGAGGGGCTTGGGAGTCCAGGCCTGGTCTCCTCAGGCATTTTCCTTAAGGCCCGAGAAGAAGCTCCATCAAGGGGGCCTTAGATAAAGCTGTGTGCCTTCTCCAGGAGGCAGGAAAAGCCGGGTGGGAGCATCAGAACCCCAGGGGTGCACCTCAGATGACGGGCAGGAGACTGCACGGTTCCAGCGTCTCTGAGGGCCTCTTCTCCATTACCCACTGGGTGCTGTCTTCTCACAAGGAAACCCTCATCCCGAAATGTAATAAGGAGCACCCTTGCTGAAAAGTTCTATATTCTCTCACACAATCTTAATAAAGTAATGCCCAAAACTGCCCAGAGTGCAAAAATACTGTTTCATATATTGAAATGGAAAATACTTTCCCTGAAACCTCCCCATAAATCTTTTTATACAGAACTCTTGATTCTGTCTGTGGCCCAGAGCAAGCCCTGCCTGTTGAAGGCCCGGAGTTCCGAGTGCTCCTTCCCAAGGCCTCTAGCTCAAATAGTGTATTCATCAGCTGTTTGTTTAGTGTCCACCGTGTGCTGTTTGCAGTGAAGCCAGCTTGATCTCCACCCCATCCCCGACCTGGGGAAATCCAGACCAGGTTAAACAACCAGAACCTAATTTGTCTGTAATCCTCATAAATGGCTTCTTCAAACAAACAAAAAAGTGTGCCCCAGAATCAGTCTCTTTCTCTCATTTTCTGTTTGCAGTGACCCAGGCCAGAATTCTGGGCAGAGGCCAGGTCTCCATGCTGGCTCCTTTTAGGTGTTTCTGTCAGTTCATGGGATGGTGGCAATTATGCTGGGGAAGGTGTGCTTTGTGCCGGGGTCGTCAGGATCCCTGAGGAGGAGGCAGACCCTCTACAGTGGTTTGCAATCCCCAAGGCTGGTCCAGGCTGGGAGACAGAACTGTGTGTCCTTTGGATCTCTAGTTGGTGGCAGACCCCCAGGAGCAGGGAGCATTGCGCAGTGAGTGGTACATGGGCACTCACTCACTCAGTCAGCAAATATCTGTTGAACACCTGTGCTGTGCCAGGTGCTAGGGACACAGCAGGAAACAAAGCAGAGTCCCTGGCTTCATGGGACTTACATATTAAAGAGTAAGCATATGGCATGGGCAGACCCTAACTACTACAGAGAACAATAAATCTGGGAGTGCTACGCTGGGGAGTATACTGCTTCACACAGGATGGCCAAGCGAGTCCCACAAACAAGGTGACATCTGATGTGAAGGAAGGGAGAGGGGAAGCCATGAGGCGAGCTCTGTGGTTCAAGAAGGAAGACAAAATGCAAAGACCCTGCCATGGGAACATCCCTGACGCACCAGGAAATAGCAGAGCCCAGAGGAGAGGAGAGGCGGCAGCCAGAAACAAGGTCAGAGGGGTGGAGGGGCTGTGGGCCACAGGAAGGGCGCTGGCTTTTGTGCTGAGGGAGATAGCAGCCCCTCCAAGGCTTTAGGCAGAGGGGCATGATCGGACCTATTTTAAAGGGGGGAGTCATCCTGGCTCACATGCTGAAGGACTACAGGGTGGGAGAGACCAATTAGGAGGCCACTGCCATAAGCCAAACGATGGATGTCGGTGGACTGAACCCATGAGGTGATGTAGGTGGTGAGAAGTGAAAGATCCTGGATATGCCAATAGATTCGATGTGTGGTGTGAAAGAAAGAAAATCAAAGATAACTCCTTATCCCCATCCTACCTGCCACATACACACACAGTGGCATTGCTGCTCCACCGCAAACACAGCCCGATCGGAGCCTGAACTGCCGCAGATTCCTGAGTGGGCAGGAGCCTGGTCTGGGGTGGGCAGTGCTGCCTGAACCTGGCCTTGTTTCTCCAGCCCTGTGAATATATTCTATATTCCAGAAAGTGCCCCAGGAGATGGCAGGAGTGAGGCCTGGAGGCGCTCACTTCAGTCCACCTCATCCTTGCCCCCTCTCCCCCTGAGAATACCAGCATTAGAGCTGACCCTCTCCCCATCACCAAAAGTGCTGATGCTTTCAGATGAGCTGACTTACCCCTCCCCTCCAATGGAAAGCTGATGTGAACCTCAACAGTGGCCACACTACTTTTGAGATGTCACTTTATGAAATAAACTACGGTGTGGGGCCCTGGCCCTGAGAAGTACTTTGCAATGTACTGAAGGAACTGCTGCTGCGTGATGTTTGAATGATCTTGCAGTAAAGACCTGATCTTTCTTTTTAAAAAAATTTAGCCCGACTGGCGTGGCTCAGTGATTGAGCATTGACCTATGAACCAGGAGGTCACAGTTCAATTCCGGTCAGGGTACACGCCCATGTTGCGGGCTCCATCCACATTGTGGGGCGTGCAGGACACAACCAATCAATGATTCTCTCTCATTATTGATGTTTCTATCTCTCTCTCCATCTCCCTTCTGCTCTGAAATCAATAAAAAAATATTTAAAACAAACAAACAAAACAAAAAAATCTAACCTTTTCAAACAGGTTCTAGTGTTTTGTTTTATTAGTCAAGGCACACGTCAAGTTTACTCCGAGCTGACCCTAATGGTTCCTCCAGGTTACAAAGGTTGTTGCATGTGGCTGGGCCAGAGCAGAAGCAGAGGGCTCCTGAGCTTTGATCTCCCCGTTTCCTTCCCTAGATAAGCCCCTCTAGGCTGTCCTCTTCAACTACGAGCCAGTTCTTTTCACGTGTTAGTTTTCTATTTATGAATAAATCTCTTTCCTTAATGTTTACTTAGTCATGCATATTTTCAGCAGCAAGAATAAGATGTTTGGAAGAGCAGGGCTGAAGTTTCCTCTTAGAAAGACCGCTGGCAGCTAGCCCAAAACAAGTTCAGGAAGCTCTGAAATAACCCCAACCCTCCTACGGGCAGGTGAGTGCACTGGTGGGAATTAGGAACACTCTCTCAAGGGAGAGTTGGCAAAATCCTTCCCTTTAAGACAAAGAGTTCAAAACCTCAAGCTCATATGGGGTGAGCGTTAATCAGATGGAAAGAAGGTGCACAGTACAAATAAACCAAAAATATATATACATATACTAATAAAACTTTTTTTCATTACCTTTCCTTAGATGTCAGGTCAGATACCGGGCAATGCTCTGGAGAAAGTGGTGCTGTCATGCTTGTGTCACTCTGAGACGTAGAGCTTTCTGAGGCAGGTTTTGTACTAGCAAATTCAATCACGTATTTCAACATGTCGGGGAGTGGGAACCGGGCTGGGCCCGAGCCATACTTCACATACCTACGAGGCAAAGACAGTGGTACTCTATTGGCCTTGTCTGTCTTATATTTTGAGGCTTGCTGACAAAAGATCTGTTGTGGTGTGAAGAGTTGATGGAAAGGCTATTTCTAAACACTACACAATATTTAACCCATTATTCAAACAGTCCATAGGGCAAAAATCTCTAACTACAAAAATAAAAATTCATAACAATCTAAACTTTTATACCTGGCAGAAAATATTACAAATGGGCTTCTAACCAAAGTCATGCCAGTTATGTTTTTTCTTGATATCTTATCACATTTGGGCTCTGGACATAAAAGTAAATGCTGTTTCTGAAAGGAAAATAGAGATATTACCAGTACTCAAATCTGAAAATAATGCTGGTGAACTAGTACCCACGGGTTTTTTCTTTGCTGCCCTTTAGATCAACCACTCAGCAATTATTAGGAAAAAATGAAAGAAAGCTGGAAATGGTAAGTAGGTATTTAGGTATTGATAAAGGTCAGAGTTTACGAAAACTAGCAAATCTTTTTTTGAGTGGAGTCCTAAGTATCCTATTATTCATACACTCAAAAACAGCATAGGCCAGGCATAAATTATTAAAGATTTCTTTGGGATAATTAATACCTGAAATATGTAACCAAAATAACAAATTATTTTAATAATACCCAATATTCTGCCATTACTAGCATATATTAGAGTCATTAAAGAAATTTACTTTAATGAATTCTACAGTTCACTATAGTAGACAAAGTTTAAATGGTAAAATAATTAAATTGACCGATTGATACTGGTAAACTCTGTAATACTGGGATTCTATTTACAAAGGATAGAGTCACTTCACATTTTTCTATTCTGAATAAAATGAGAGGTAGGGGGAAGAAAGGGGTATAGAACTAGGAAGAAGGAAAATTGTTTCTATATTTAGAAGGACATTATGAAATGAAAACACTAGTGGAAAATATGTACAGAGCAATCAAAGTCAACCACATTAGAGGGTATGCAGTGTTGCCTCTTAGGAAAATTAATGACCTAGCAATAGAGTGGGTAGAGATGGGGTGGTGATAGCAGCAAAATTGTTAAGCAGATAAAAGGGGAAAGCCACTAACATTGTATGGGATTCTTTCTGAAATGCTAAATCAATAGGTTCTATCTTGACTAAAAAGAAATTACATTGACTCCCCCTTAGGAAGTCATAGGAGTGATTCCACAGAAATAATGTAAACAAACAAAAGGGACTGAATCCTCTATACGACAAAGGACTTTGTCCGTGTCAGAAATATTAGCCCTTTTAATGTTAGCCCAACTCTAGGTAGAGCAGCATTGTTTTTTGTTTTTACCTTCCCCAGAGATTCAGAAACTGCTTTCCCAAGACAACGGGAGAGGAACACAACGACATTACCTCTCTCGTGTTTGTGAAAAAGATGGCAAGGACAGTGGAAAAAAGTAAAGGGCTATAAAATCAAAATGTGGATCCTCTGAAATACACTGCCAATGACTGCGGCTCAGGGTCACGTAAGTCCCCTGTTTGCCCATGGATACTCTTAGCTCATCTTGAAAACTGCTTCACCCTTAGGGAAAAAAATTCTTATTTTATAAAATACACTAGTTAATACTTAAACTCTGAATTAATCTATCTATATCCTATATAATAAAAGGCTAATATGCAAATCAACTGAACGGCACCAGTTGTTATAATGCACACTGACCACCAGGGGGCAGACGCTCAACACAGGAGCTGCCCCCTGGTAGTCAGTGGGCTGCTGGGGCCGACCAACCTTTCGCGGTCCCTCCCCGAGCTGGCTGGATGGTCAGTGCGCTCCCACAGCCAACTTCCCACGGCCAGCCAAACTCTTACAATCCCTCCCCCGGGCTAGCCAGTCCCGATCAGGACTGGGCGAGACAACTCCAATCACCAGCCAGGCCAAGAGACCCCACCTGTGCATGAATTTGTGCACTGGGCCTCTAGTTTTTAAATATAAACAAATTATCTGATTTTAATGTTCTACTCTTATATTTATAAGCACAGAGTTATCCATAACTTACCTTTCCAGTTTTTGCTGCAGGACTTTCACTTCCTCCTTCAACTTTCGAATACTCTCTCTCTTACTTCGAATAAGCTCTTTGCTTCTGTACATGTATCTAAGCAAATAAGCCCAAAATCACAATTTATATTTAAGAACATTAATAACACAAAATCTCAGCAAACTAGGGACACAAGGAAACTTACTCAATTTGACAAAGGGGATCTATGAAAACACACAGTTAACATCACAACACTTAATGGTTAAGACTACTGAAAGCATTACCTCTGGAGGCATAGCCTGGAGGCAATGAGGTAAAAGATACACAATTATAATAAAACTAGGGGCCCGGTGCACGAAATTCGTGCACTGGGTGTGTGTTGGGGGGGTGTCCCTCAGCCCAGCCTGCCCCCTCTCACATACTGGGAGCCCTCAGGCGTTGACCCCCATCACCCTCCAATCGCAGGATCGGCCCCTTGCCCAGGCCTGATGCCTCGGCCAGAGGCATAGACCCCCATTACCCTCCGATCGCCTGATCGGCCCCTTGCCCAGGCCTGACGCCTCCGCCAGAGGACAGGGGAACCCCATCTCCCCCCGATCACTGGCTCTGGCCCCCGCCCAGGCCTGAGGCCTCTGGCCCAGGAATCATGCCTGGGCAGGGGACCCCCATCTCCCTCTGATCGCTTGCTCCACCCCCTGCCCAAGCCTGACGCCTCTGACCCAGGCTTCAGGCCTGGGCAAGGGGACCATCATATCCCCCCAATCCCCGGCTCCGCCCCCCACCCAGGCCTGATGCCTCAGCCAGAGGAGTTGACCCTCATCACCCTCTGATCACCAATCACCGGATTGGCCCCTTGACCAGGCCTGAGGCCTCCGGCAGAGGTGTCAGGCCTGGGCAGGGGACCCCCAGCTCCCCGTGGTTGCAGGCTCTGCCCCTGCCCAGGCCTAACGCCTCTGGCCTAGGCATCCGGCCCGGGCAGCGGGGACCCGCAGTGGCAGCGGCCCCGCGATTGTGGGCTTCGCTTTAGGCCCAGGCAAGGGACCCCTAGCTCCTGGGACTGCCAGCTTCGACCGTGCCCAGCTCCCATCGCTGGCTCCACCCCTACTTCCTGCTATCACTGGCCAGGGCGGCAAAGGCGCCTGATTCTCCGATCATGGCTGGGGGGCAGGGCAAAGGCAGCCCCAGGGCCGCCTTTGCCCCGCCCCCCAGCTCTTAGCTCCCCCCTGGGTTTCCGATCACTGTCAGTGGCAGGGGGCTTCTTCCTGCTTTCCCTTTCGCCTCCCTGCATTGTGCCTACATATGCAAATTAACCGCCATCTTGTTGGCAGTTAACTGCCAATCTTAGTTGGCAGTTAATTTGCATATAGCCCTGATTAGCCAATGAAAAGGGTAGCGCCGTACGCCAATTACCATTTTTCTCTTTTATTAGTGTAGATTAAACATGAATTTAGGGACAAACAATTAGATATGTGCAAGACCTGTACACTAAAAACTATGAAACACTGTTAAGAGAAATTCACACAAAAAATTAAATAAATGGAGCTATACTATGTTCATGGATTGAAGTACTAAGAATTGTTAAGTCAATTTCCCCAAACTGATCTATAGATTCAATACAATCTCAATCAAAATCCCAATCACTGACAAGCTGATTCTAATATTTATATAGAAATGCAAAGGATGCATAACTTGTGGACACAGACAATGGGTGGTGAGGGCCTGGGGGGGTAGGGGGGGTGGGATGAGGATGGGAGCGGGCTGGAAGAGGTTAATGGGAGGAAAAGAAGGGCCTATGTAATACTTTTACCAATAAAGATTAAAAGGAAAAAGAAAAAAAGAAAGAAATGCAGTTACCAGGATAACCAAAACAATTTGAAAAAAGAAAGTTTGAGAACTTATACTGAGGTCAAGATTTATATAATAAAACCACAGTAATCGAGACAATGTGGACCTGACATAAGATTAGGCAATAGACAGAACAGAGACTCCAGAAATAGACCCACAAATATAAATGTAATTGATTCTGACAGAGTATCAAGGTAGTTCAATGAGGGAAAGGAGTGTCTTTTCAACAAATGGTGCTAGAATAATTTGGACACCCATATGCCATCTTTCCCCTCTTATTAAAAAAAAAAAAAATCTTTCTCTCACACTATATACAAATATAAACTCTAAAAGAGTCATAAACATGAATTTAAGAGTTAAAATTACAAATTTTCAGAAAGGAAAAAAAAGAAAATCTTTGTGACCTTCGGTTTGGCAAAGATTTTTTAATTAAAACATAAAAAGTGACCTTCGGTTTGGCAAAGATTTTTTAATTAAAACATAAAAAGCACAAACTATTAAAGAAAAACTGATACATTACACTTCATCAAAACTAAAACTCCTGCTCTTCTAAAAAGACTGGAAGAAAATGGAAGAGGCAAGGGGACGGGAAATATCTGGATTTGAATCTAAAATATATTTTTAAAAACCCTTAAAGTCAGTACGAACACAACAACTCAGTTAAGGAAGTAGACAAAAGGTTTGAACAGACACTTCACAAAAGAAAATATACAAATGACCATTAAGTACATAAAAAGATGCTCAACATCATTAGTTATCAGGGAAATATAAATTTTAAATAAGATATCCCTACAAACCCATTATAATGGCTAACTTTAATACACATATTGGTGTCTGCGAAACCCCGCTGCCACTGCCACGGGGTTGGCCAGTGCCTGCACAGAAACCAGGCCATCTTGAAGGGCAGAACTGCTTGCGACTAGGATCCAAGTCTCACCACCACCCAGTCTGGCCTCAGACGCAAACTGGGACCCTACAGCCACTTGGGACAAAGACCTGCTACCACAGCAACAGACCCACAGACACCAAGACTACAGACATCCAGGCTGCAGATTTCTGAGAGCCACAGAGCCCAATCCCCTCCCTGTCAGCTCACCGCAGCAGAACAGAACCTCCTAGACCCACGGTGCGCCAGCAAGCCTCCTGCCGACACAGGGCGGCTGTGCGACTTGACTTTGGCTCTGGGCACGTGCGCACACGGGAAATCTGTTTCCTGCAGCACGCAACCAGGCTTCCTGTCGATGCAGGGCAGCTGTGCTACCTGACTTTGACTCTGGGCGCAGGCACACAGGGAGTCTGTTTCCCGCGGCGCACGACACATGGAGGCTGTGCAACCCAGCCCCCCAAGCAGACTGGGGACCCTGATTCTCGGCGCCAGAGGCCACACTGCACACCAGTGACTTGACTCTCGGCGTGCACACGTGGGGACTCTGTTTCTCACCGCATACACACGGGAACCCTAAATATCTTAGAAGAAGCCATAGGCAGCAAAATAGCAGGCATGTCATAGCAATATCTTTACTGATACGGCTCCTAAGACAATGGAAACTAAGGAGAAAATAAACAAATGGGACTACATCAAAATAAAAAGCTTCTGCACAGCAAACGAAACCATCAACAAAACAACAATAAAGCCCACTGCATGGGAGAACATATTTGCCAATGTTCCCTCCAATAAGGGTTTAAACTCCAAAATTTACAGGGAACTCATACAACTTAACAAAAGGAGGATAAACAATCCAATCAAAAAATGGGCAAAGAACCTAAATAGACACTTTTCAAAAGAGGACATACAGAAGGCCAAGAGACATATGAACACATGCTCAAAGTCACTAATCATCCAAGAGATGCAAATCAAAACAACAATGAGGTACCATCTCACACCTGCCAGAATGGCATCAACGAACAGACAAGTACTGGAGAGGATGTGGAGAAAAAGGAACCCTCGTGTACTGCTGGTGGGAATGCAGACTGGTGCAGCTACTGTGGAAAACAGTATGATAGTTCCCTCAAAAAATTAAAAGTGGAACTCCCATTTGACCCAGTGATCCCACTTCTAGGAATATATCCTAAGAAACCAGAAACACCAATCAGAAAGGATATATGCACCCCTATGTTCATAGCAGCACAATTTACAATAGCTAAGATTTGGAAACAGCCTAAATGCCCATCGGCAGATGAGTGGATTCGAAAACTGTAGTACATCTACACAATGGAATAAATTTGTTATAGAGAAAGGGCTTTGAGCTAGAATTCATATAATAATAAAATTTGGGCTAAAAAATAGCCTCAAGCAAAAAAAAAAACAAACCAAAAAAACTGTAGTACATCTACACAATGGAATACTACGCTGGTGTAAAAAAGAAGGAATTCTTACCATTTGCAACAGCATGGATGAAACTGGAGAGCATTATGCTAAGCAAAATAAGCCAGTCAGTGAACGATAAATACCACATGACTTCACTCATTTGTGGAATATAGAGAACGTTACAAACTGATGAACAAAAATAGATACAGAGGCAAAGAAACATTGAACAGACTGTCAAACTACAGCGGGAAGGCAAGGGAGGGTTGGGGGGGAGGTAAGAGATCAACCGAAGGACTTGTGTGAATGCATATAAGCATAACCAATGGATGCAAGACACTGGGGGTGAGGGGGGAGTGTGAGGGCATGTGCCAGGGGTAGGTCAATGGGGGAAAAAGGAGACATATGTACTACTATTTATAAAACTTTAAAAAATAAAATTTTTTTAAAAAGTTGAAAATTTTCTTATAAAGTTAAACATACACTTTTCATACAACCCAGCAATCTCACTCCTGAATATTTTTACACAGAAGCACTAAAACCCACACCAAGACTTTTAAGTAAATGTTCACAGCAACTTTACTCATAATATCCTAAAAATGGATACATCTGAAATGCCCATCAATTGCTGAATAGAAAAAATACAGTGGTACATCCTTACAATGAATGAAATACTACTCAGTAATATTTAGGGAACAAATCACTGACACATGCAAGGAGAATCCCAAAATCACAATCATAAACCAGAGACCAGAAGCACCATTAGCATAGCCCTGAAAACTTCTTGGAAGTACAAACTCTTGGTTCCCAACCTAGATCACTAAATCCAAGCCTGCAGGTGATTCATATGCACAATATACTAGTATGGGCTCACTTCTGCTGCAATGTATCTTAAGACAATCAATCACAGAACTCACCTGTCCATATAAATAATCTGAGGAAACTCCAGCTTATTGTGAATTTTCTCTGGCTGACCAAGGGACTGATTGAACTCAAATCTTGAGAGTTCAAAGGTTAACACTGGAGGTAGTTTTGTAAACCAACACTATGTCAGGAGTAGAAATGTGAGAGAAACAAGTTATTTTCAGGAAATGGCAATAGCTAGATTTAAAATATCCCTCATAAATCTGTATTTTTGGTATAGAATTTATATTCAAATCAAACTCATTCTACACTCGTGTTTAATCTCAAATCCTAAAGGAAATGACCACTTAGAATCATGCCCTCATTGAAAATATGGTTAAACATTCCTCACTACTCCAGCTCAACTATTATCTCAGAAATAACCACCCTTAAATATGTGAATGCACAAGCACCTATGTAATTTATTCATTAAGTCCTCAGTACTCAAAATAGATTTGAAACCTAAAGAAAATGGCAGCCTAGCCAAAGAATTATAAATTATAATCTAAGCAGCATATAAGGGGACAATTGTCTCCATGAATCAGCTAAAAAGACCAATATGTGTGGTCTATACAGTCTATTAACCATAACTTGAATCCCCTTTCTGTCTAGAAAGGAAACTTGAAATAGCCTTATGATAATGAATTCTCAAATTCCTGAGAAAATCTCTCAATTCCAACAATTTAGACTTCTCCTAACATATGAACCTATAATGTTACCTTGAGTTTCAAGAAAAGAAAGCCCTGACTTTTAAATACGATCTCAACTGTCACTGACCATAGATGAGGAAAAGCTAGAACAGGAAAGGCCTTTCTGTTCAATTCACCTGTAGGCCAGAGGTCTGCATGACAGCTTTAAAATATTCCCTTTACCAAAGGTACAAACAGCGGTTCCCTTCGCATGCCCTCGTCGGGCTGAGGTGAATCCAGATAGCCTGTCTGACTACCTCAGGGCTAAATCTAAACAAGCATAATGATTTTCATATATATATATATAGTTCCCATCCTTGAATAAAGGTCTCCAGAAGGCTAAGTAACTGGTGAGCATGCCCTCTCTTTTGAAAGCACACCATCAGCTCCATGCAGCTCCTCAATCATGAATTGGTAACTTCCTTGAAAAGTTAGGGAAGCAGTTCCTCTCTCCAGATCCTAGCCCTGCCCTACCGCTAATGCACTTTGACAAGGCTCATGCTATGTTCCCTATTTTAACTCAAGAAAGCTTTCCTTCCTCCTACAGTAATTATTGAGCTGGACTCATCATATAAGCCATAATTTTTTCTCAAAATGGATGATGAGAAGAGAATAATCTGAGCTGTGTGGTACTGACAATAATGCTACTGCAAATGCAACTTAGTAATTCTTAACCCAGCTGAAGTCTTGAGATATTAATTACCCTTGTTCTCCCTTTAATGTCCCATTTCTTTCCAACCCACAAAAATAAATAAATGCAAAATTAAAAAAAAATTAAAGTAAAGGCAGAAGTTACAATGGAAAACAGTAAATACTATAATAGGGAAAATATTCTAAATGGCATACCATAGGAGTTAATCACTGTACTTTTACCCTCCGAAAATATGGAGGCAGTGCGCTCTCCCTACTCAGGTACAGGTAGGCTTCAACAGAAAGAGAGAAACTTGATCACACTTGAAATATCAGCAGCAGCATACAACCTTATATGAGTAACTCAGACTCCAAATTCATACTTTCAGTAAAGAATTTATTTATCCAATAGTAAGACTCACCAACTCATATCAACTCATGAGAGATCTCAGACAAGTTTAAGTTTTGTTACACGTAAAGCTATGTGATGGGAAAACGACTGGCCAAAAAGCTCAGTCCTATTTAACTGGCTTTGTGGTTGGTGCACCAAATAAAATACCCAACTCACCTCTTGTCCGTACTTCACTGAATGGTCGGAAGGAAGCAGCTCAATGTCACCCTCCACCATGGCCCCTTCCAAACATTCGTCTAAGTTGTGATAGCCATTTACCTGAAGGGGATACTGGCCGAAGGTCTCATTGTTACAAAAGGGCTTTCCTAGACAAAGAAACAGATTGATTTTTAAAAGACATCACTAGCATAGCATAATCTAAAGCCCTTTTTTCTGGTACCAGAGACAATGTCTTCTTAATTCAGCAACATCCTGACAACTGATCTGTAGTGCATTTAAGCCTGTGTGGCAACCGCTAATGAACCAGTGAATCCAGGCCCAGACCACTGGCAACTGCTAACACTGCAAAAAGAAACGCAAGCAGACAGTAAATGCCTCCTGACCAAGACTATCCCGCGACCTATGTATTTGTCTTGCCTAAAAAAGCCTTACCCAGCCCAGCTGGTGTGGCTCAGTAGCTGAACGTAGACCTATGAACCAGGAGGTCACGGTTCCATTCCCAGTCAGGGCACATGCCCAGGTTGCGGGCTCGATCCCTAGTAAGGGAAGTGCATGAGGCAGCCGACCAATGATTCTTTCTCATCACTGATGTTTCTATCCCTCTCTCCCTCTCCCTTCCTCTCTGAAATAAACAAAAATATATTTCAGGGGGTGTGGGGGGGAACCTTACGTGAATCCAGTCAAAGTCTAGATCCAACTACTAATTTATATCATGGATATGCAAGCAGCAAAATTTCAGAGTGTGGGAAATACAAATACTAGAGAACAAACAGCCCGCTTTCTTAAAAACCAAAACAAAACAAAAAACATTTCAAGGAAAATAGATTGAAGAAGAAGAATCTACAGATTTTGAAAAGAGGCTTAAAAAACATATCAATGAATCATAAACGCACCACATTCGGATCCTAATTAAGAGAAACTGTACTAATAAAAATAAACACTCTAGCTCTATATATAACTATACAAGTTAACAATTTGAACGCTGACTAGATATTTGATATAAGAAATGCTATTTTTTGGTGTGAAAGTGATATTGGATTGTTTTAAGAAGAATGTCAGAGAGATAAGAGTAGACAGGGGTTACATGGCGAATGATTGGCCATAGGCTAATGGTTGCTGAGTTTATGGAGGTTTTTATATTGGTCTATTTCTATGTGTTCAAAATTCTCTATAGTTGAAAAAAAGAAAAAAACCTCATGTAGCCAACATGAAGCTTCTATAGTAGACAAACATTTCTGGCAGTCTAACACAATAAAACCTTTTCAGATTAGATATTACATTTGAAAGAACAGAAAATTGAGTAGCATCACTGTGTATCTAAAATTAATACTAGATTTGGGTAGTACAAATATTACACAATTTAATATAACATCTCTGAGATAATGATCAGGCCCATCTTTTTAAATTTTTTACTGATTGACGAGAAAGAGAGAGAGAGAGAGAGATCAATTTGTTGTTCCACTTATTTATGCATTCATTAGTTGAGTCTTGTATATGCCCTGACCAGGGGTCAAACCCACAACCTTGGTGTATGGAGATGACATTCTAACCAACAGAGCTCCCTGACTGGGCCCATCTTATAGATGAAGTCACTGAGGATCCAGGACCTCACATAATTTGTCCACAGTTATACAGCTTCTAAGAGGCAGAACCAACACTCAGACCTGCATCTGATTCCCAAGCCTTTCACTACACTGCCTCCCCAAATTGTCACAGTAATATAGAATTGGTCACAGGACTAGCATTAACAGTTACAGCAGAGAATTTACCTTCACGAACCCCTTCAGTGAGGAAAGTACCGTAGAATAGCTGCACCATTGGATTTTCAGATTTGTTCTTGGGATTGCTGCTTTTAAAAAAAGGAGACAACTTGGTATCATTTGGATCAGATAAGCACTACACTAAACCCAACCATCATTCAAAAGCAAAAACACTACCTTTTCATTTAAACAAAGAGCCAGGTATGGTCTAAAATAAGTAATAGATTATTTCAGCTCACACATTCATTGGACAAGTAGATGCTAAAACCTGAAAGCACAAGGACAGTAAGGCCTGATCCCTGGCTGAAAGCCTAATACATGTATCTGTACATTCGATACATACATAAGAGATACAGATACAGCTCTCCAAGGTACACAGGGTATAAAAGTAGTACACAGATGAGAGTGCACCTTCTTGCGCAGTTCCGCAAATAAACAGAAAAAGCTTTCCCAGTGGCATGATAGTCAAGGAATGAAAACACAGTTGGCCCTTAAACAATGAGGACGTTAGGGACTAAGTTGAAAATCCATGTATAACTTTGACTCTCAAAACTTAACTACTTATAACCTACTGTTGACCTTAAGCTTTACCAGTAACATAAACAGTTGATTAACACACATTTTGTATGTTATGTATTACTTACTGTATTTTCATAATAAAATAAGCTAAAGAAAAGAAAATGTTAAGAAAATTATAAAAGAAAATAATACACTATTTTCCACATTCATGACATACCTAAGTTTTTCTTAATTTTTTTTTTATATATCTAGGCTATATGGTTCATCTCAAGCTTTTTCAAATTGTCACCAATCTCCAAAAAATGTTTTCTAGTATATTCATTGAAAAAAAAATTCATGTATATATGGATATGCACAGTTCAAACCCATGTTGTTCTAAGGTCAACTGTAGTTTATATCTACAAGCCTACCTTAAATTGTTAATTATGTACATTTCCATTTGCAAAGCTGTTTAATGATATACATTTCTTCTACCCAAAGTTATGACAATTTAGAAAGCAAATTCCTCAGCATCTATATTGGGTGAGGGATACTTGTATTTTTGCTCTGAATTTCACTTCTGCCAATGACTCACATGACTAAAAGCTGTTCTCTAACAGTCTACACAGATTACACCAGTTGCCTTAGATCAAATTTAATGATCTATACTATTCCACCATGTTCACATCTACGATTTAACCTTTTAACACATTTTACAGCACAGGCTATGGCTGTAACAAAGTTAATAATTATGGCCCATTTAGTAAAAAAATTGTGGGTTAATATGATTATCTATATCTTCAAAGAGAAAAACCAAAGGCAATGGGGATGCACAATGACAAATATGAGTAGCTACCCCATGAAGTTTGGTAAAAACCAGAATTTCTTTTCTTTTCTTTCTTTTTTTTTTTTCCTATTGATTTCAGAGAGGAAGAGAAAGGGAGATAGAAACATCAATGATGAGATAGAATCATTGATCGACTGCCTCCCACATGTCCCCTAGTGGGGACTGAGCCTGCAATCTGGGCCTATGCCCTGACCAGGAATCAAACCATGACCTCATGGTTCATAGGTCACCATTCAACCACTGAGCCACACCAGTTGGGCAAAACCAGCAATTTTTACTTAAGATGAGTATTGTTCCCCCTTATCATAATTCTCACTGGGCCACTGTGAGCAGGAAGGATGTACAAACAGATCCTCGACACTCACTTAGCATTAACAGCGAGCTGGAATGCATCCTCCAGCCAATCCAGAAGCTTGTGTGTGAATTCACTCACATCTTGCTATAAGAAAGGTAACAAATTGCATAGGCGTTAGACCCCACACTATACTTAGGGAAACAAACATTTACTTTATCCCACCAATCACTACGATTCTATTACCATGCAAAGATTTCTATTTTAAGGCCACCTATCAAGAAGGTACATGGAACACTGGGACCAGCTACCAAAGGTGCAACAAAAGGCACACTAGGCAGCCTCTAAGTTGTGGCTAGGAGGAAACTGGAACGCTGCCACTTCCAGCCACCTCCTTTTGTAACAAATAAACTAAATCTTCCAGTTAGGACTTTTTAAAAATGTCCAAAGAACACACTGTAGTACTTTAGAATTTATGAGATCTGAATGGAGAAAGAAAACTTTTGTAAAATGTTTCGAGATTTTGCAGAACTGTAGGACTTTTAGAGAAAAAAAAAATACTTTTATGAGGAAGAAGCTGCACTAATAATGAGAGCTTTGTTTCCAAATAGGAGGTGGGGAAAAGAAGTTACTAATATCCAGAAGATTGCTCAGAGTTGCTGAACTCAGGGTTAAATGGTCTGCACCCCAGCAAACATGTAGACAAAGGACTTTGTTTTTCTCAGTGACTCTTTGCTAGCACTCACTGAGCTATTTTCCAATCTCCTTACTTCAACAGCCTCTTTGTAATTGTTATTTCTACTACTACTTCTTCTTTTTAGAACTGCCAGCTTCCCCAGACAACACACCCTTTTTACCACCTGTTCCTTAGACATTATAAAGGGCAAAGGTAGGCACCCACAGGCCTGCTTACTCATGTTCACAGTTTATTACACGGTTAAAATAAACACGACTGTAATGTTAGGCATGATTTCAAACTCCAGAGTTTGAGGGAAAACCTTGTACCTGCTGTTCCTCCGGTGATCGGAATGCTCCCTTTAAGAGATCGAGGGCTGCCGAAGGGTCTACAAATTTGCGATTTGATCCCATCATCAGAGCAAACAAATACTGAAGCTCTTGCATAAACATGATATTTCTCTTTTCCTGTAGAAAACACAGCAATGTGTACTCTTACAACCTCTTACTTGGAAAATTACAACATATAAAGAGAAAAGTTGTCAACGGTCACTCCTTACATTTATATTTACCTAGATCTAGACCAGGGTCAGGTCTCAAACTATGTTACAAGTACTCTGAAAGGTCTCTATAGGGGATTACCCTCAACTGAAAGAGTGTCTATGTAGAAGCAAGGGAGTTAATAGTGTAATTGTTTTCTGAAGCTACCGTCCTCCCTCCTGTTAGGAAGATCTGTCACCCAGGTGAAATCCTGGAAAGGGTCAGATCGCTGGCGAGAGGCTTCATCCTTCTCGTCTTCTTTGTTAATCCTCACCCAAGGATGTTTTTTTCATTTATTTTTAGAGAGAGAGTGGAAAGGAGGCAGGGAGGGGAGAAAGAGAAACATCGATGTGAGAGAGACACATCAATAGGTTGCCTCCTACATCCACCCTGACTGGGGCCCAGGCTCGAACTTGCAACCCAGGTACTTGCCCTTGACCAGGAACTGAACCCTCAACCTTTTGGCTCAAGGGCCGATGCCCTAAACACTGAGCACACCAGCCAGGGCTAAAGCCTCTTCTGAGCCCAGACCTCCAGCACTAGGTTGCCTCCTCTGCAGCACTAGGGCTGAGTGACTAATGCAGCTCACTGCTCACTGCCACAACAGAAGTGATTTCTGCATCCCCCGTGCTGAGGTCGGCAGGTAACTCACCACTTTCATGGAACTGTTTTTCTCGTTTTATTCCTACTTAACTTTACATTTTTGCAAACCCTTATTTCTTGTCACAAAGAAGGAAAAAGAGCCATTTGGAAGTGAAAACAATATTAGTACAAATCAAAGAGCATCAAGTTATCAGCTTCAGCCAAAAAATTAAAAGCTTTTGGAATGAAAGGAACTAAACAGTGAAGATTCCTCAAAAGCAACAACTTACGGTGTGACTGGGACAATTTTCAAGTACACTCTGTGGCAGGCTGTAGCTGAGAACAAGTCTTCGAAATGCAGGCAATTGAAAAAGAGACTGAAATGAAGAGAGAAATGGGTTGATAGCCTTTCTTTCAAAATAACTGCAGCAAGAAAATACTGCTTTTATCTTAAAAGTATGTATAATTGTCCACATAGTAATTCTACTTCCATTACGTTGAAGGAAATAATAATGACTATGTATAAAAATTGAGCTGAATGCTAATTCTTTTAGGAAAACAAACAAACAAACAAAAGCTACCTGATGGCTAACAAGAGGAACAGATTAGATAAACCATAGTACATTTATACATTAGACTATTATGTAATCATTAAAATACTTTTGGAGAAAAATGATTTCATAAAAATGGACTGCCACACAGCAGTGAAAATAAATGCTCAAGAGCCACATGAATTACCATAGATAAATCTCAGACATATGTTTTGAGTGAACAAAAGTTACAGAAAAATAAAGTGTTATATTGTTTATATTAAGTATAATCTATACATATATAAAGAGCCAGAATCGGGGTGGGCTGGCTGGCCAACCTCCCACCATCTCCTCCTCCCAACAGGCCTGGCCCCGATCCACCAAATTCATGCACTGGGCCTCTACTTATATATAATAATACTACAGGTTGTTTAGGATTCATACATATATGGCTATATTTGAGGGGAAGGGAGGAGCTGACAGGATGGGAACAACAGGGACTCAATAGCCCAGAGATTCATAACATTTATTTCTGAAGCTGGGTAGGAGAACAGCAGTGTTTACTATTCTCCACTCATCAAAGTATTATATTTAAAAAATTTTAACAACAGATATCTCTGGCTGGCAGAGTTAGGATGAAGGATTCTTTTCATTGTTTTGTAAACCGTACATTTTTCTACTATGAATATCTTTTGAAAGATAATGTTTTCCCAATCTGTCATGTGACTATAACTCCTCATCCCAACACGCTCCTCAAACAAAAGCCCCTGCAGTCTGCACCCTGGACTCCTAAAGCCGCAACCTGGGTGGACAACAGGTCCCCCCTCCCCTCCCTTGATCGCAGGCCTACTGAAACTCACCCGCTAGGGCGGGCGCACAGCTGAGCTGGGAATATCAGCCCTCTGCCTTCGCCTTCCTTCCACTCCGACTGTCGCCCTCACACACCTCCATTCCTCCCAGTTTCACTTTTGCTCTGCTCACCGCCCCATAACCTTTTCCAGGACTTCGGTTCTACCAAGATAAAACGGCTTTACATTTTCAGTCACATCACTCCACCTCCTCACCTTCACCAAAATCGGGCTTTACCCCATTGCTCTTAAAAACCACAAGAGGGCACTCCCATTTCCCAGCACCTGCTTCTTCTGCGTTCTTTGTACTACTTAATTACATCCTCCTCCTCCAGTTTAGAAATTCGGAATCATCTTAGAATCCTTTCCCTTTCTTAACCAGCCACATCTAACTCAGAGAGGTGCCTGGACTGAGCCCCTGGGGTGCTGTATCCAACCACCTCCTCCAATCGCTGGCTGTGATCACACTCTAATCACTGCTCACCTGGATCACTGCACACAGCCTTCCTGCCTCCAGAATGTCCCCTGTACCAATTCACCTGCCAGCAGGTTCTTCCATCTTTCTAAAATGACCAAAATTAAGCTCCCAACTCACTGAAGACTATTCTCTGGTAATAGTTCTTACAATCCCAAGTCCTGTCATCCTACTAGGTAACTTCAGTCAACATTCAACCCATGGGACCTCCTGTCAGCTCTCCCTCAGAATAAATCAGGAATCCAACCTCTTCTCTACTTCCACGGCCACCAGCCTGCTCCAGGCCCATCACCTCGCACGTGGATGACTGCAGTAGTCGCCATAGATTTCTCCACTGGTTCTTGTCCACTCCATCCATTCTCACAGTAGCCAGAGTGAGCCTTTAAAACTCGGGTCAGAGTTCATCACCCCTCTGCTCAGAACCCTCAGTGACTCCCATCTCTCTCAGAATGACAGACAAGTTACCTTTCTAATTTCATCCCCAAGGACTCCCCCTTCTGCCCCTAGCACTCCTGCCACTCGGGACTCCAGGGTGTCCTGTGCACACAGCAACCCCATGAACACACTCCCACCTCAAGGCGTGCACCTTGGTTTCCCCGACCTGGAATACTCTCCCCGCTCAGCTGCCTGGCTCACTCCCTTGGCATTTGCTCCAATCTCATCTCCTCAGCCTAACATCACCGTTTACACTGCAACCTGCTCGTCTCTCCTGCAGCAACTGCAATCTCCCTTCACCTGCTCTTTTCTCTGTCACACCAATCACAGTCTCACGTGGTATATAAATGTACTTACATCTTAATTCTATAAGGGCAGGGCTCAGTCTTGGCTGTGTTCACTCCTGCATCTCAAGGACCCACAGCAGTTCTAGACGTACAGGAGGTGGGATGTTCAACTAGGATGTGCTGCGAGAACACAGGCTCTTCCACTCAGCCCAGGGACCTGTCTCCTGACACATTCCTCCAGTCCATCTCTACACCCACACCACGGCCACACCTGGAATATGCCAACACCTGAAAAGGTGCCAGATCACAAATGCAGAAAATCCCACTCTTAAACCACAGCCTGTCTTCTGGCTTATCTTTTCAACTACCTACAGGACATTTGTCTCTTGATTTCATCAGGAACCCAAGCAAACTGACCTCTTTCCTTTTCCCCTAATAATTAGTTCCTTCCTGTCTTCATTTTTCCCTCTTTCTACCTTTAATTCCCTTCATTAAATTCTCAAATTGCTCTTTTGCCTTCACCAGACCCAGAAACTCCTCCAACCTAAATGAATTTAACTTTCCAGTTTCAGAGCGCTGCTAAGAAGTTCCGATAAAAACAGGACATACTGATATCGCCGTACTATTATATTCTGCTGCCAACCGGTTGCCCACTGTCTGCAACAACTCTTAAACTTTCGCTCCATTTAAAATCTGACTCTATCATTCCTCCGCCCAGTCTCAGAAAAAAGCTGCTTATTTCACAGAGGAAAAAACGACTATTAGAAACTATATCAACTTTATTTTCAGACATCATTTCTTCCTTGTTCTTTCCCTATTAGTCTTCCCGTTTTCCTATTCCCTCCCTGTATGCGCCATAGCCTGCCCTCTCATGCTCTCAGAAACCGTTCTCAATTATCCCCTCTACCTGCTAGTTCTTTTCAACATCTCTCACAGGAGCGAAGGCTGAGGGGGTGTGGATACAGGGAGGGGCCCCAATCTCTCTAAGAACTGACTGATGTCCTTAATTCTACACTACCTTCCTACATTCCGTTCTCAACATAGATCCCAGTAGTCCTCTTGAAATGGGAGTAGGATCCTATCACTTCTCTGCTCCATTCCCAATACTTGCCCACTTCATATATATCCCCTAAATCATCATCATGACACCATGCTCCCCACCCCACCTCCACCTTTCTGACCTCATCACTATCAGTCACCCTCTTCCCCATAACTCAGTTCTAGCCTTTTTCCTATTTCTCAACTCAATAAGCAAGCTTCCATACCTGGGTCTTTTACTTGCTGTTTCCTCTGTCTACAATTACTAGAGGCCCAGTGCACAAAATTCATGCGGGGGGAGGGGAGGTGTCCCTCAGCCTGACCTGCACTCTCTCACAGTCCGGGACCCCTCAGGGGATGTCCCACTGACGGCTTAGGCTTGCTCCCCTAAGCCAGTAGTCAGACATTCCTGGCGCTGCTGTGGAGGCTCTCATCACCACGGCTGCACTGGCCAGCTGTAAGCCCGGCTTCTGGCTGAGCGGTGCTCCCCCTGTGGGAGCACACTGACTACCAGGGGGCAGCTCCTGCATTGAGTGTCTGCCCCCTGGTGGTCAGTGTGTGTCATAGCAACCAGTCCTTCCACTAGTCAATTTGCATATTAGCCTTTTATTATACAGAATATGGTTCATTCTCTCACCTAATGCAGGCCTCTACTCAGATGCCCACTTTATCAAAAAGGCCACACCTAACTACCTTACACAAACAGCAGCCTCTGTAGCTGCTTCCTTCCTGGGCCCCTTACACTCATCCATTTGTCTCTATGGCACTTGTCACCACCTGACATTTTATTTACCGTCTGTCCCACCCTTTCCAAGGTAAACTCCATGGGAGTGAGGGCTGCTTATTCACGGCTGTTTCCCCAGTGCCCAACAGTGCCAGGCACAGGAGGCCATAGATTTTATGTGTGGAAAGGGAGGATCCCGTTTCTGGCTGAGCAGCTGGGTGGATGTCCAATGCTATGATGGAGGAGACTGCAGGCGCGGGGTCGAGTTAGCCCTGTGGCCATGTCCGGTGCAGATGCCTGAGACAACTCTAGGGCCGCTCTCTCTAGGGGGTTCATCCAGTCCCTTGGCTTTATCTCCACCCATGCCACTGATCCCCAGAACGTACCTGCAGCCCAGATCTTTTTACTGAACTACAGATTCAGAGTTCATTGCCTACATACCCTCAAACTCAGCAAGTATAAAACTGAACTGATCTCAGAGGCCTGCCTCACAAGAATCAGATTTGAGGTGCTGGATTGCCAGGAACACCCCCAATATCTGACTGGTCTTGTTAGAGGAGTTGGGCCACATGATGTTTTGGGACTGAAGGCCATGACCACCTCACAAACCGCATAGCTCCACTCTGTTGAGAAGGGGGTGGCTCCAAGACTGTGGTAGTGATGGCGGCAGATGGCAAGATGATGGCCCATTCAAGCACACTCAGCAGCCACGTTGTTAGCTAGCTTTTCACCGGGAATTGGAAGGGCCAAAAGGTTGCTCTGTGGCTTCCTGCTGGGTTTAGGTTAAAGGTGGAAGCCCATTGATGAGTTAATCCTAAAAGCACTCCTGGATGGTCACACAGAAGCATGAAGGTGGCAGAGGAATCCCTTTCTGTGAGATTTTAGTTGGAGATTCCTAGGGGGAAATCTGCACACGTGTCAGGGAAGACAGGAAGCCCAGTCACATCACTGAGAGAAAAACCCAGCAGCTAACCTGGGGACTTGCAGTGGGATGGGGCAGGCAAGGCCATCCGCCTGCATGGGCAGCAGCCCAGATGCTGTGTTCACATCACTCCAGTAAGAGGACAACGGGGTCACCTGAGGGACTACAAGGCCGTGATGGGGCCACAGTGAAGTCAGCCCTGGAGGGGTCAGGTGGCTTCCCAAGGCTTCCTCAACAACTCAACCCCTCTGTACCACACAGTGTGTTCCTTCACCCACTCAATTCACTGACTTAGCTACTCAAGAACCACTGGTCTAGAACATGGTGCTGTTTTTAAGTGTTTAGAAGTATTGTCAATGAAAAGTGCTATACATGGAATCAGAGAAGATAAAAAGTTAAAATGAGGACTCTGTACTAGAATACCTTAAAGGTTCCTCTCTCCTCCACAGTCCATGATTCTCTAAGTGTTGACCTATCCTATTTTTGTCACATATGTTGGTCTGCCACCTAATAACCACTGGGGGGAGGAGGGACTGAACAGAAATTCCACTCTTATACACCCAAATCAGCCCTCCTGAAGTGTCAAGAGGTATCATCCACTTGTATACCAACTAGAAACCTTGGGAGTCTTTCTCCGCTCTCTCCTGCAGAGAACCTGAATCTAGTCACTCCCCAAATCCTGTAGATCTGATCTCCTAACACCTCCCAAATGCTTTACTTCTCTTCTCTGTGGCTTATGTCACTTCTCTGTTGCAGACCACCGTCATTACCTGCCTGCATGCATGATAGCCTCCAATTGGCTTCTCCTTAGTAACTCTTGCTCCGCTACAACACAGTAGTCACTGAATGCTGATCTAAAACACCGACTCAACATAGTTACAGCCACAGAGGACCTTGTTTTGAGTACTGCCCAATGTAGACACCAGACCATATAAATCCAGAACACAAGAAAGCAACCAAACACGATGCTGTGGGGGAAACTCCCCAGTCTTATATATGTTTCCATTTTTTTAAAGCTATGTTCCTCACATTTTGGTCGAGTAAATTACAATATTGTTTCAAAATTACAAAATTACACAGTTTACTCTTTAAAAATATCATCATACCTGAATAACAGCACTAAACCAACATGTATTGCCAACATTTTTCAGCCCAACTGGCCAACCATCGACTCGCCTCCAGTCATTGGGATTGGGATTTTCTCCCCAGACTTCACAGCGTTTCCTCTTTGAGCGTTTAGTTTCTGCAGAGGTTGCCTCGTGCATCCTGCATGGTGCCAACATACCACACATCAGAAAAGGAAAAAGTTAAAGAACAACATACTACATGGAGGATGTTGGTAACCTTTCATAGGTAGTTCGAAACACCAACTATTTGCTGGGTAATCACTGGCTATATACTAATTATAAGATTATAACATAAGTGAAAAATAAGATTTAAACACATAGGTGTTAATCCTTCTATAACAGAGAGTATTACTAATAAGGTGCTTCATGGAACTGAGTTGAGACTCAAGACTATTTATGGTAGTGAAGGAAAAGTTTTAGATTTCAGCAACAGTGCCCTCTCTCAGACCATGCCATTGAAAGAGGCAAGAGAGACACCCTGCTAAAGATAAGAGCCTCCGGCCAGGCCGGCATGGCTCAGTGGTTGAGTGTCCACCTATGAACCAAGTCAGGGCACAGGACCAGGCTGCAGGTTCAATCCCCAGTGTGGGACGTGCAGGAGGCAGCCAATCAATGATTCCATCTCATCATTGATGTTTCTATCTCTCCCTCTCTTTTCCTCTCTCAAGTCAATACAAATATATTTTTTAAAAAGAGCCTCCAAACTGTCTAGTACCCAAACCACAGCCCTGTGTTTCCCTGAAAGAACAACTCGACAGTACAAGGGAATAAACATATATGGAAACGGACAGGTCACCACTGGAACTGGATATTTGTGACAATTCCAGCCAGTCACCAAATTAGTACCAATTCAAATACTATCCCTGTTCACTTCTGAGACAGGGTAATTGAATCATTATTTCATTTTTAAAAATCAACATAACCCTCAAAGTTTACAAAGGCTCAATGATTATAAAGGGCATACATATTTATTGGATACTTACACTAGAATGCTCCCCCCCACCCCCCGCCCGCCCCGACCATAAATTAGCAATTATGAACTATATAACCTGCAGGCTTCTGCCCAAAGACCACAGGCTGCAATAAGACACTTATCATATTTGGCTTTTTCAAAAGTGAACCAGAGTAAGCTAAATTTAGTAAATTTTCCTTAAAAAATTTAATTCAGATGCAATTGAAGGAGCCTGAAAGAATAGTTCTTGAGTGGCACTCACAGAGCTATTGCCTTTGACCTACACACTAATGTAGGGAGCAAAGATTATAAATTAAATCAATTACCTGTTAAGATCTCTTCCATCAGTTTGAACTTTGGGGGACTCCAGTAGACTCAAAGCAATGGCAGCCTGAAGATCATCTTTGTTCTCATGAGTAAGGTCTATTACTTCTGCAAGATACATTGAACTTCAATTAGTCTACATGCAGGAAACACTGCCCTCCTGTCTGTATTGCAGGAAAAAAGTAAAAGCATTAACAAACCTAGATATACTCAAACTCACACATGTTTACAAATGCCAAAAACCTAAACAAAACATTAGCAAACAGAATTCTGCTAATGTACAAAAAAAGATTCTATATTAAGACCAAGTTGAGTTCATTGTAGGAAACACTGAGTTAACATTAGAAAAGAGACCAGTAAAATTCACTATCTTAACATTTCAAGGAAGAAAATGATAATCTCAATAGATACAGAAAAAGTAGTTGATAACATTCAACCTCTATTCAAGCATAAAAACTCTAAATTAACTAGGAAGAGAATATTCTTAGGCTGAGAAAGAGTATCCATGAAAAGCCCACAGCACACTTTGTACTTAATGGTGAAATGTCAAACACATTTCCTTTAAAGCCAAGACTAAGATGTCTACTATCAGGGCTTTTTTGTTCACTATGGTTCTTAAAGTTCTGGTCAGTGCAATAAGGAAAGAAAAAATAAATGTTTAAAAAATATGAGAATTGGAAAATAAGAAACAAAACTGTCATAACTCATAGATAATGATCACCTACAAGAGAAGCCCAAAATAATCTATAGTCAATAGTTGTAATTAATAAAATGTGGTTAGAAAAAAATTCAGTAAATTTCTATACATGGATAATGAAGAATATTTAATTTAAAAATAAAAAACCCACAAAATTGTAGTAATCAAGATTGTGGGCTACTGGCATAAAGACAAACATACAGATCAAGGGAACAGACTTCAGTGGAATAGAAACAAACCTCATATTTACGGTGAACTGCTTTTCATCACAGGTAGAAAGATAAAACAGTACAGAAAGACTATATTTTCAACAAATGGTACTGGAACAACTGCATATTCACACACAAAAGAATGACTTTAAACCTCTACCTCACACCATTTAAAAAAATAACCTTGTGACCACATGATAACAGCGAAAACTGTAAAACTCTTAGAAGAAAATACTGTAATTCTTTGTGATATTGGATTAAGCAATGGCACCTTAGAGATGACATCCAAAGCACAAATAACCAAAGCAAAAAAAAAAAAAAAAGATAAATTTGACATCAAATTTTTATTTTTTTTAATTTTTTTTCACATTTTTTAATAAATCTTTATTGTTTAGATTAGTTGTTCCTTTTTTCTCCCCATAGCTCCCCTCCACCTAGTTCCCACCCCACCCTCTGCCCTTATCCCCCCCCCACACTGTCCTCATCCATACGTGTACGATTTTTGTCCAGTCTCTTCCCACATCCCCCACACCCCTTCCCCCGCCCCGCCCGAGAATTGTCAGTCCACTCCCTTTCTATGCCCCTGATTCTATTATATTCACCAGTTTGCTCTGTTCATCAGATTTTTTATTCACTTGATTTTTAGATTCACTTGTTGATAGATGTGTATTTGTTGTTCATAATTTGCATCTTTACCTTCTTCTTCTTCCTCTTCTTAAAGAATACCCTTCAGCATTTCATATAATACTGGTTTGGTGGTGATGAACTCCTTTAGCTTTTCCTTATCTGTGAAGCTCTTTATCTGACCTTCAATTCTGAATGATAGCTTTGCTGGATAAAGTAATCTTGGTTGTAGGTTCTTTGCATTCATCACTTTGAATATTTCTTGCCACTCCCTTCTGGCCTGCAAAGTTTCTGTTGAGAAATCAGCTGACAGTCGTATGGGTATTCCCTTGTAGGTAACTGAGTTTCTTTCTCTTGCTGCTTTTAAGATTCTCTCTTTGTCTTTTGCCCTTGGCATTTTAATTATGATAAGTCTTGGTGTGATCCTCTTTGGATTCCTTTTGTTTGGGGTTCTCTGCACTTCCTGGACTCGTAAGTCTATTTCTTTCACCAAATAGGGGAAGTTTTCTGTCATTATTTCTTCAAATAAGTTTTCAATATCTTGCTCTCTCTATTCTTATGGCATCCCTATAATTCGGATGTTGGTACACTTGAAGTTGTCCCAGAGGCTCCTTACACTATCTTCATATTTTTGGATTCTTTTTTTCTTTTTGCTTTTCCAGTTGGGTGTTTTTTACTTCTTCGTATTTCAAACCTTTGACTTGATTCTTGCACTCCTCTGGTCTGCTATTGGGTGTCTGTATATTATTCTTTATTTCAGTCAGTGTATGCTTAATTTCTAGTTGGTCCTTTTACATATCCTCGAGGGTCTCACTAAATTTATCAGCGGTTTCTAGAAAATTCTTGAAAAACCTTCAAAGTGTGGTTTTGAACTCTATATCCAGTCGTTTGCTTTCCTCCATTTCTGTCATTTGTGATCTGTTTCTTTGTCTCTGCATTTTTTATGCTTCCCTGTGTTGATAGAGTGGCTTTCTGTGCTAGGTGTCCTATAGGGCCCAGTGGCTCAGCCTCCCCAATTACCTGAGGTGGACACTCTTGGTGCACCCCCTTTGTGGGCTTTGTGCACAGTCTGGTTGTAGTTAAGTCTTGATTGTTGTAGATATCACTGGGAGGAATTGACCTCCAGGCCAACTGGCTGTGAGAATCAGCTGTGCCTACAGTGGGAGAACTTCTGTGCTGAAGACACCCTTATGAGGCAAGACTTGCTTCAGTGGGGCTTTGGTGCTCACTGAGTCTGCCCCCTGAGTGTGTCCCTTATGGATCTAAGGAGTTGTAATCTGATGGTTCCACTCTGACCACTGGATACACAGGCTCTTGGATCTCTAAGGAGGTGCTAATTTAGCCTCTGCTTGAGGCTACCCAGTAGGAGCTACGGAGAGATCTGCAGGTTCCTTTTCCTTGTTTGGGTTTTGGAGGTGCCAGATGAGGCCCAGCTGTGAAGCAATGCAAGCTGCTGGGGGACTTGGGCCTTCTTTTGGATGTTCTGGGTCTTTCTGACCCAGCTGCAGCTTGTTAGGTAATTTTAGCTCTCAAAGGGCCAGCCCATTCATATGCAAAAGCCTCTGCACACAGCTTGGGTGGGGCAGGGTCTCAGGGAATCAACAGGGCAGAGCAAACAGCTATGCTGATCCTCAGTCCTGCCCTAAGAGGTCCCGGGTCTCAGTGTCCTGGTAACCGCTGCAAGCACCTCTGAGAGAAAGCCGCCCTCCAGTTCTGCCCACTGCCAGACAGTTCAGTTTCTCTCCGTATGAGTCTGGGTCCCCAGAGACTTGCCCGGAACTGGAGTCAGGGCCGCCGGGAGCTTCTGCCTCCCTCCCGATTGCAAAAGACACTGGCGTCCTCCGTTGCCAGCCCCTTTCTGTGCACTCGAGCCTCCGTACCTCTGCACTTTACTTCCGCATCTCCTCTGAGTCTCAGTGTGCTTTTCTCTTTCCTTCTAGTTGTAGAATTTCCACTCAGCCAGCCTTCCTGTGGTTCTGGATGATGTCTGTTTTGTCTTTTAGTTGTATTTTTGAAGTGGTTGTGCGAGGCAGCAATTTCAGGTGTTTACCTATGCCTTCATCTTGGTTTCCCCAGCTCAAAATGTTTAAAAACCCACAAACCTTGGGCTTCAGAGGACACCAGCAAGAATGTGAAAAGAAAACCCACAGAATGCAAGAAAATTTTTGCAAATCAGGTATCCAATAAGGTACCTATATACAGACTACCTAAATTATTCCTGCAACTAAATAATGAAAAAAACAAATGCCCAGTTTTTTAAATGGGCAAATAATTTGCATAGACATTTTTTTTTGAAGAAGATATACAAATGGCCAATAGCACATGAAAAGATGTTCAACATCATTAGCCATGCACACGTTACATGAATCAAAATAGCTCATAGCAGCCTTGATTATAATAGCAAAAAATGTGAACAAACCCCAAAGTCAATAAATACATAAACTGTAGTATATTCAGACCATGAAATACTACACACCAGTGAAAATACATGAACTACAGTTATAACTTTCAACATGGATGGGTCTCCCAAAATATTGATTTAAAAAGATCACTATGTGCACCAGACATATATACATGTAAATGTATATGTACACATATATACATACACACACACACACACACAAAGAATATTCATACCAGCATTATTCAGAATAGTTCAAAATTACAAATAGACCAAATATCCATTAACACCATCTGACCCAGCTGATGGTTCCTTTCCCTTGGAAGCCTCCTTGACTTCCACAGTACCACTCTCCTGGTTCTCTTGGTCTTCCTGATCTCCCTGGATACTCCTGATCTCCCCAGACCACCCTTCACTGCGAGTGCCGGCTTGTTTAGTCACTGAACCTTTTCTCTTTTCTATACTGACTCCCTTGACGAGTTCATCCAGTCCCATAACTTTACATACCATTTACAGGTTTATGATTCCAAGTTGTATATCTATCTCCAGCGGATCTCTCCCCTGAACTACACATGTGGATCTCTACTGCCTCTTTTTTTATATATCTATTTTTATTGATTTCAGGGAGAGAGAGAGAGGGAGAGAGAGAGAGAGAGAGAGAGAGAGAGAGAGAGAGAGAGAGATACAAACAACGACAATGAGAGAGAATCATCAATTGGCTGCCTCTTGAATGCCCCCTAATCCGGGCATGTGCTCTGACTAGGAATCAATCTGTGACCTCCTGGTTCATAGGTCAATACTCAACCACTGAGCCACATCGGCTGGGCTCCACTGCATTTTGACACTCCACCTGAATGTCTAACAGGCACCCAAACTTAATATTGCCAAAACTGATCGCTTCATCTTCCACCCCAAATTTGCCCCATCTACAGTTATTCCCATGTTGGATAAGTGCAACTCCATCATTTCAGCTGCTTAGCAAAAAACCCTGGAGTCACCTTTAACTCCTCTTTCACACACCCCTTGTCTCCTCTGTAAGCAAAGCCCACATAGCAGCACTTCTCACTCCTTAACCACTACATCCCAGTTCACCCAACGCCATCTGCTATAGCCTCCTCACTGGTCCTGGGCTCCCTGCTCCAACCCATGCTCATTACCCACTACCCAACAGAGCAGTCAGAGTGACCTTAGAAAATGGGAACAGTTTACATCGCCCTTCGGATCCAGATTCTCCAGTGGCTTCCATCTAACTCAGAGGAAAGCCAAGCACTTACGCAAGCTATGCATGATCTGCCTCCTGTTCTCTCTATGGCCTCATCTCGTATTGCCCTCCTCACTCACAAAGCCTCAGCTCTGGCCTCCTTGCTGCTCCTTAAGCAAACCAATGTATATTCCCCCCCAAGGCCTCACATGACTTACCCATTCTCAAAAGGCTCATCCTATTTCAAATCTAATCCTCAAAACTTTTTTCATTCCATCCTTTATTTTTTCTCTATGGTACTTAGCATGTTCTGATATGCTATATAATTTGTTTGTTCGTCTCCCCTTGGAAAACTAAGCAACATGAAGGCAGGGATTCTTATTCATTTTGTTCATCTTGTTTATTTTGTTCATCAGTGCCTGAAAGAGTGCTTGGCACATAGAAGGGGCTCATTAAATAAGTGTGAATGAATGAATCACAAAAGTGCTTAAAATTGTGCCTGGCACATGGTAATGGTTTAATCATTAGCTATCATTACCATTCTTTTCGAAGGGCTGATGTGGCAGACAGAAAATTCACACACACTCATCTGTTATTTTTTGCGAGTTCAAGCAGGACTGAGACAGGATGTACTTACTTGCTAATACTTCTTTGTTGGCAGCACTCCGCTCTGCCTCAGATGGTTCTGTAGCAACAGGGTCCTGACTGGGCTCCTTCACCCTTTCATCTGTGAGAAGACTGACTGCCAGAGTGATGTCACCATTACTGGCCTAAGGAGGGGGGAAAAGACTTCACAAGTAAAGCATCACAGCATTTCAAATGAGTGCGTTAATTTCTTGCTTGGTTATAACTCTTTACTACCTGGAGACACGGAGTAAGTCTAGGCATAAGTCTGGGGGCGGGGGAAAATGGTGCAGGATAGTAAGGCACTGTGTTTAAAACATTCTGTAGTGGTGACCACACTTGTAATTGTTTCTAATATTTTATTAGGAAAACTGTCTAACATTTACAATAGTAGAGGGAATGTATAATTGAACCCATGTACCAAGGTGGTCGATCTTGTTTTATCTATTCTGCCAGTCTCTCCCAGATACTTTGAAGCAATTCTTAAGCATCGTATCAGTTTATCAGTCAACATTTCAGAATGTATCTTTTTAAAACTATAACCCCTTAACAGTAGGTATCAAGTTTTTAAGTAAATTACTTCAAAGTTCCCTGACTCAAATATCCTTTAGTTTGTTTGAGTCAGGATCCATACCAAGTTTATACTGTGCAATTGGTTGATATGTTCATAAACCTCTTTTACCCTGTCGGGTTCCCTGCACTGCAAGCCTCCCCCATCCATTTACATGTTGAAGATACTGGGTTATTTGACCTGTAGAGCTCTGTCCCTACATACACTTTCGTTTAGGCGTTAAAAGAGCTTGAACTGACATACCACAATAGGGACAGCTGTTTTAAAGCCTCTTGACTAACAGAAGCCTTGAAACTAACCTTCAGAGCTTCTTGAAGGAAGGAAGGGTCCTGAATGCCCGTGATTTCTCTCAGCTGATTTAACAGCATTTGGCAGCTCTATGTTTGAGAAACAAACAAACAAAACCGCAGACAAATGTCAGTCAGAAAGTAAACCTGGATACATTTAAAGAGTATAAGCATCTTAACAGACCGGAGACTCGCCTCCCAGCAACACGGTATGACTGCTGTGGGGTCTAGTCTCTCAGAATGTGCCCGGCTGCCACGCAGGCTATTCTGAGCTGAAAACCATTACAGCCTAACAAAATAGGAAGCCACCTTCCCCTTTCCCACCTAAAGAGATTCAGACGAAAGCCTGCTTCAGGAAGGGGCCCGAGCATCATCCCCACACTCACGTCAGCGCATGTGAATTAAGTGCAACCCATTGTTTCTGAGTCCACCTAGCAAGAATTTGCTTGCCACTTGGTCATTGACCAGTGAATTGCCTATTTCCCCTCAGGAATCCCAGACTCTTCTCCAAACTGGCATATCTGCCTCATTTTGCCTCAGTCTTTGGAATGTGCATGCCTATATGAATATTCTGTGTGCGCGTTATTAAAATTTGATCTTTTCCTATTAATCTGCTGTACGTTGTCTGAATTACTCAATCAGCCAGAAGAACTAAAGGAGTAAGGAAAAAGTGTCCCCAGCCCCAACACTGTCATGACACATTCTGAAATGCCACATCTATTACTCTCTTCAAAGTTTACTCGAGGAAAATACCTACAGAGGAAATATGAGTAAACAGTAAAACTGGAAGTATATAAAACATTTAAGTGTAATATTCTCGCCTTAAGGGATGCTTAAAGCGCCTCTGTGAGCAGCACATAAAGTAAGGAGGTCATACACGGAGTGCAGGGATTCTGCAGGGATGTGAAGATGTGCTATTTTAAGCTTCACTGCACATACCATTTGTATGTGTCATTTTTTTTTACTGACAATGTTTCTAATCATGTGATTAACAAATGATATCACCAACATCATATTTAAAACTTAGGTTTAATTGCTTAAATGAAGTATAAAGCTAGAATTTTCTGAATTACAAATAAAATTCCAGGGGGACTACACTATGAAATGTTTTCACTGATCTGAATCATGGAAAACCCTATCTTGTGGTAACTCCTGGCTACCTCAAGATCAGTTTATAGCCCCCTTTCAGCCTTAACATCTTCACTGGAACACTCTGTCCTGTTTTGCTCAAAAGTTAACACAAAACAACTATTTACAAGTAAGCTCAATTTAAACAATACGCTGTCTAACTGAAGACAATGATCATTTAGATGAATATTGAAAACAAAATAGTTCCAATTTACTTCATTGAGAAGACATCTAATTTATACCATTCCTAAGGTTACCCCAGAGCTAAGCCGGGCCTCAGTACTTACTGCTTCACCACTGACTGTCTCTCAGCTCGTAATACGCCTCAAGTGGCACTGCCCATTCACTGCCGCTGTAACAGAAACAGCAGCCTGTGTTCCTCAACAGCTGCGGCCAGGACAACACTTACGGGTCATGCGACTAGAAATAACTAAGTGCAACACCCCCGTAGGCAGTCTTTCTGTTCTAGTGCAGGTCACAGTCATAGGCCAGAAATGGAACCGACGCTGCTGAGACCAGCAGTCTCTGAGGCGGTGAGTCTTGTCAAAGGAAGTCACTGCCTATGGACTGGGAGAGTGACTCTCAGACTAGCAGGTGTCCAGATTTAGCCTTGGCAAATGCCGAAAACAAAAGCATGTGGTTTTAGAAAAATAAAATGTTAAAAAGTTTTCTCCAAACGAACTCTAATTCCATTTTATTTTATTGGGTAAAGGTATGTGAATCTATACATCTTAATCATACTCAGTTTTCTAAGAATCAAAATCAACATATCCCAAAAAGAGGGGGGATAATTGGGAGGGAAATGAGTAGAGCATTAAACCTACATCACATCTTCACCTTAAATTACTCTGAACATCAACTGACACTTAGGATTCACAGAAAATAATCCCAACAAAAAGTAATAAGTAACAGAGGCTGCTTACTTTTAGCCAGGTGTTCTTCTAAACACTTCACATGTATTAATTAATTTAACTCAGAGTACCAATGTCAATCAGTGAAACATGGTATTCAAATATTAAATAATTTACTAATCATTATATTTGTCCATGGATTAAAGTCCCTTTCCCCTTTTCCCACTTTGTAACAGGTAGCAGGGGACAGCAATACATCTAGAAAAATACACCCAGGAAAGGAAAATACTATGTTTCCCTTTTTTTATTATTTTTTAAAAATATTTTTTTATTGATTTTTAGAGAGAGAGGAAGGGAGAGGGATAAAGAGAAACATCGATGAGAGAGGAAGTCATCAATTGGCTGCCTTCTGCACAGCCCCCACTGGGGATCAAGCCCGCAACCCAGGCATGTGCTCTGACTGGGAATCAAACTAGCGACCTCTTGGTTCCTGGATCAATACTCAACCGCTGAGCCATACCAACTGGACTTAGTTTCCTTTTTTTAAAGTTATTGGGCAGAGGTGACAACTTTGTAAAATCATTTTGTACCGCTCTAAGATGATGTTCTACATGTAAATTCAAATCTAAATTCCTCATCTTGCTAGTTTTCAAAGATTCTACCCTGCCCTACTTACTCAACCTTTTCTCCTACACCATCCCTTACCTCACAAACTCAACTGAAGTGTTTATATTATTTCTAGTAATACCTCCTACATTTGACTGACCATGGAATGTTAACCTATTGTCAATGGTTAGATTCATCTTTTTTTTTTTTAAGTGTTTTTATTGATTTTACAGCAAGAGGAAGGGGGGGAGAGAGAGAAAGAGAAACACTGATGGGTTGCCTCCCACACACACCCCGACTAGGGACTGGGGATAGAACCTGCAACCCAGTTACATGCCCTTGATTAGGAATCGAACCCAGGACCCTTCGGTGCCTGGGCCGAGGCTCTAACCACTGTGAAACACCAGCCAGGGTGCATGACTCAATCTTAATAAATATTCAACTAAACCTAATTTCTTAAACAGTACACACAATTAAAATCCTATTAAGTACTATATACTAAATGTTGATTTTATAGTAACATTCCAACCAAGAGCACTAGGACCCTGCTGTATTACTAACTAATGGTTTCTCCTGGGACTGCACAGGAAGCTGATTTGAATATTAACTGCACCACCACCATGCTGCTATATATAGTACACACCCACGAGACAGGATAGAGCTTGTGCTCCAGTCGTGATCAAGTCAAATAACTGGCAAGAGTCAACAGGTCCGCATTTCCTTAGATGAATTCACATTATTTTCGTAAAACAAGAAATACTCTCGCCTCGGCCCAGGTGGCTCAGTGGTTGACGTCGACCTATGAACCAGGAGGTTACAGTTAGATTGTTAGTCGGGGGATATGTCCAAGCTGTGGGCTCAATCTCCGATTGTGCAGGAGGCAGCCGATCAATGATTCTTTCTCATCATTGATGTTTCTCTCTCTCCCTATCCCTTCCTCTCTGAAATCAATAAAGGTACATGTAAAAAAAAAAAAAAAGTACTCTACACTCGCCCAGAGGCAGTGAAGAAAGAGGCACCAGAAAGAAGGAGCTCCCACTCTGGACCTGGGCTACTTGGCGGTTCTGTGTAACCCAGTCCACTCCTCAGGACTGAGGTCTGCTTACAGCAACACAGTAACTCATCCCATAACAGGCAGCAAATAGGATTAGCAGACAATAAAAACATTAAGCATCAAGTTGTTGTAATAAACAATAACTGGCCTAATCCTACAGCAACTAATTAAAACTCTTTGTTCAGATGAGGCAAATTGGTGAGATCATTAATTAAGAATTTTATCTTAAAATGCCCAGTTTAGTATTGGGACAAGGAGCAGCGAGGGATGCTATTTCATTACTCTAATACATGCATTTCCTGAACTCAATTGTCTATTCTTATAAAGACATTTCTATGACGATAAATTAAAAAATAACACAAAGTGTTTCTATTGGTTGGAGCACCCTCACGTACACCAATGGGTGGTGGATTCGATCCCCCATTAAGGACCTGATTGATGTTTCTCATTTTGATGTTTCTCTCTTTCTCTCTCCAACTTCCTCTCTCTAAAATCAAATAAAAAATAAAAAAGACCCTAAGTACATATTGATAAATGTTCCTCTACTCCAAAGAACTTCTAAGGTGTGCCTAATAAAATTTCCTCCAAAATTAAACATCTGGCTTTCTAATTTTAAAATAAAACTTAAGTACACAAGAAAAGCAAAATAATAATTTTAGGAGTTAAAGAAAATATATAGCAACAACTCCAGAAGTCCAGTATAGGCAACAGGGTCTTAATGTATGCTGAGACTGCTGCTAATCTTTCCAACTTCCACAAAACAAGAACAGTCCACAAAAGCCCTGGTGCTTTTTCCGTTTTTCTTCCAGCAACAACTCTATGTTTGTCCAATTTACTGATGAAGCAGAAAGCTAACATACAAACAAGAAAAAAATTCTGAGATGACCTAAATTAAAATCGTAGAGGACAGAGAAAGGGACAGAACAGTGGCCGGCTCATAACTGTGGACCAGCTTTGATTAACTAACGGCTGCTCACATTCTGGTATATTTGCTGGAATTTAGGATTAATTTCCAGGTGGCTATAATCCACAGGATCGGACACTTCTTCCTTACAGACTCTGTCACACCTATCCCAGATCTAGCCTCTTACCTTCTCCCATCCCCTTTGTCTAGAGCAAATGTAAATCCTTTCAGAAGGGCTTAGAATAGATCTTTCTCTCCCCACCCCCAGTGATGTATAAAAACATTGCAAAGTTCCAAGAGGATGGATGGCCATGCTGCTGTGGCTGGTTTACACTCCATGCCCCAAGACGGCCCTCTTTCTCTTTATTTACTTTTTCGGCTCACAATGACCTGATATACCCTTTTATTTAAAAACACTTCAGCAGTACAAGTTAAGATTCTTTGTCTAACAGTGCCATAAGGCTATGACTCTCTAAAAATGACAAATAGCAGTTTTTTGTGGACCCAACTAAATCCCCTGAAACAGGGTACTCTATAACTTATGTTA